CTTCTGATAGAGGGGTAATCAAATCTGAAATAGTCGAAAAAAATTGGAATTTGATGATGAGCAGGTTGTGGGTGGGGGTTTATCTTTCGGGGTTCAGTTTGCTGGCTTTCCCAGAAACTCATAACGTCATAAACACCAGCCGAACATTCGGCTCAGATCTCAAGTTGCTTGCTTTAGAGAAAGGGTGTGATTTTCTTAAGAGTGTCAATACTGGTAAGCATCAGAGTACGTCCACAAGTTGAGAGGTTCTTCCTTAGCTATGTACAACCTCCGATTTCCAACGAACCTGGAACTGCTTTCGCTTGCTTGGGCGTTTTCTTTCTCCCTAGTCATGTTGATCACAATGAGTTTCAGAAATCCAGATTCCATTACTCATTATTTAAAATGTCGTTCATTTTGTCAAATTAAGTCGGCCAAAGGAAAACTGGTTACGCCAGTGTTGCCATGCCATCCCCCTACATATTTTGATGAGTTTGCCCCACTCGTCTACGTGGGAATAACAAAAATTTGTGCCCTCCTACACATTTCCCATCAGCCTGTATGTGCCTATGTGTCAAATATTTGCCTAGACAGGTTCTTCTGTAACAGTGCTGATAACAAAGTCGGCGCGATCACAGAGTAAAGTTCTGAAGGCAATCGTTAAGAAAGTGAGAAAAGTTCAAGTCTTCTCCCCAGCAGTGCTAGGGGTCTATGAATTAACGAGTTTTCAGCTCCATCCTCCAAAAATTCCTGAAATTCCTGCCTTATCGCAAAAGGAGTCTTAGCGCCGCCAGCTTTTTTTCCAAAAGTCCATTTCTCAGCAACTCAATGCAATTTCCACAGTTCCACTTCGCCATTTCCTTTTGTCGACAGGTGTCTATATCGGTGTCGTCGCAACCTTTCATCCACTTCTCCATCGTTTTCCCCTCAATCTTTCTGGATGTTTGAATACCGAAGGTTTTAGCACCGCTGTACATCGGAAATCTCTTTTCCACTTCCTCACAGATCTAAATGAACTCCTATTTCGGCAAAAAAATGAAATAGACAGTAGCCTGATTTCCAGCAATAACAGAGTATGTAGGAGCGGTTGCGTGGGAGATTAGTATGCACGCCATAAATGGCCTTTCACTACCTTCGTTTCCGCTCCCACATTATTTCGACGGGGTGTCTGCGACCTCGACATTTTATCGTTGGTCTTTATGCCACGAAAAAGACGAACATTATTCAATTTTGTGGGAAATCTGTGGTGAAATTCCATTAATCCGAAAATCGGACATTTAAATACCCGATTTCTTTACAATCAATGCCCTTTATTTCCATTGCTAGCTTGTATTGCTAAGGGGGCCTCCAAACACTTTCTCTTCAAACTTTTTTAACTTGAATAGGTTTTGTAGCTTATATCTGGCTTCAGAATAAAACTATGAAATTATTAAGCGAAACGAAAAGCGTGCGCAGGAAACTCTTGAAATCTCCTCTGGAACAGGTGTTTCTTATTGTGGAGAAAAGTCACGGAAATTCACGTCATGATCGAAGAACGAGAAACTGATAAAACGGGGTTCTCGTGATTACCGCATGGTCTTCAAAATTGCCATAAAAACCGGCACACGACGTGACATTTCTATTTTGGTTTTCTTCGATTGAAGCTCCTATTTCAAGGCACTGTAGTAGCACGAAGAGTCTGAGCTACTTCACAATTGTCTACTCGAGTTTTTCCAGGTACTAGACATCTTGTCTTGCCTTTAGTTCCCTTCTTCCTTATCTACACTTTTCTATTGCTCTCTCTCTTTTGATTTCCGAGCTCCCATGATTCTTCCATGATCGAGCCCAGGTGAGAGGATCATTGACGTGTGGGCAATCCAGAAGATTCACCCCAGGAGCAGATGAATTCCAAATGGTCTTTCATGAAGTGATTGTATTGCAGATTCTTCGAATAGAAAGATTTGTCCATCCAACATTCGTCCATTTTTCTTCATATGAAGCTCGAAGAGATTGTTGAGGTGCCTGAGGTACAGAGAAATCGACCATCTCTCTTGAACCACGGTCGGATCAACTGATGGTTGAGTTACAACAGTCAGGGGGGATTGATCTGGCCAAACCACTCGATAGAATTTGTTTGTGGAAATTTCTTGTAGGTTATCACGCCGTTGAATCTCCTTGCTACGTGCTACGTGAAGTATGGCGGTTGCTAGTAGCAATTTCTTTGAAATACTAAATATATCTCTGCTAAATAAACACATTTCTTTTGGATCCCAGTGGTTAACGTGCTAAATGTGGAGGGAACAAAGACCGGTTTAGAAGTAGTTAAACTTTGCCACGTAACGTCCGCTTGCCACGGTAAACGTTGAGAGGCGGAACTGTAAAAACTCCGTCAGATGAATCATTTCAGGGTAGGGGACGCCCTTACGATGGATTATAAAGGCTCAGGCTTTCCTCTGAGTACACTTCCTCGAGTACTCTTCTCCCTTACATCACTTCTACAAACTCTTTCGATGTGGAATAACTTCCGTGCAGTTAATGCACGTACATGCTTCGGGTGTGCACGTAGTGCTTTCGAATTTTGGTTTCCTCATTTCCGTCTTTCTTGAAATCGGCCACTATTTCCCTCTTATAATGCAAATTTACACAGTGTAAGAAGCCTCCCAATATCACGCACTTAGCAGCGTTCGTTCTCAAGAGGCGAACCAGATTCGCGCCCTCTTCAACTGAACACTGTGCTAGAAACAACGACGACGTTTACCAATCACCTTCGGCATGTTCGGCATTTTAATCACATTATCGCGTGGGAGGGGAGGCTCATGCAAATGTGGTGATGACCCTGACTTTTGGTAATACAACAGTAGTAGAATAAGGTAGTCGGTATGACGGCTTGACGATTCTTTTTTTTTNAAAAAAAAAAAAAAAAAACGGGAAAAAGGAAGAAGAAAGCCAGGATGCCTTCAAATAAGTGTTTACGAGGTAATTTTCTGAATTCATCGCGATTTTCCAAAAAATTAGAGTATAAAATTCTACATGACCAAGCCGAGAGTGATAAAGTAAACATCATGACGCTCATAAAGTTTCCATGCTCTTGTAGGTAGTTGCCATTTCTCCAAAAGTCTCTGAGATCGAGGTGCCTTTTAAGGTAAAAATGAAAAAGCAATACTATGTACCCAAGCGATGGCAAAACATCAAAATTAATAGAATATTTAAAAAAAACTCCTGGGCTTTCTTGTAGAAAGCATAATAGTTCTAGAAATTCACTGCTCTCTCAACTACGAAATACAGGTACTGTCTGATTTCCTCGCTCTCACTCATATTCAGTACGACCGGGTATCCATCCTTTACACAACGGAAAAGGGGTCTCACATATTTGGGAAGATGAAAGCGTGATCCAAACATCCAACAACAAATACACACCCAGGCTCTTTTTCAACAAAATGGAAAAGCTGCAGCGTTGTGTATCCATTAGGATGTCCATTGGGGACTTTGCTAACCCATTTATCTCCTCAACTGAACGAAGTCAAAGGAGTACTAACAACCTTATGATCAAAAAAAAACAAAGATTCCTCAGCCTCCTTGCTGCTGGACATGCTTTGAGTGAACATAGCACTTTCATCAAGTAGTGGTTCCAAAGTAGACCTCAATGGCCTTTCCTTATAGAAAAGCATGATGTCGCGATTCTTCTTCATAAGATTACTCAATTCATATTTACAGTTCGAACATAATTGAAGCTTATACCCAAGTTCAATGACTAATGGGCGTGTTACAGCGCTTTTCCTCCTCCCATTTGACACGCCCACCTTCGCGGTCAGTGTGACGAGTTACAGAGACGTCGAGTTCGCGGATCGGTCTTAGGAAACGACTGTTTCTGTACCTGAAGCGCTCATATCATAGCGCTGGTGATTCTTACCAATAATTCTTATGACACCTCTATCACATCGAAACTGTTTTTATTAGCATTAAGCAGTTTCCTTATCCCCAGTAGCTGGTGTATCCAATTACCTGCAACTTCCATTCTAGTCCGATTCTTATCAGTTTCTATTGCGTTTCTCGAAGAAATGTTTGTACATATATTTGTTCCAACATGCCTTGTTCCGCTTTCAAATCGAGTTCTGTCTTCGAACTTATAAGGGCTTCACCCGCGCACCTGCGCTTTCCTTTGTTCGCTGTTCTTGAGTTGGGTGTTTTGCTGTAACAGAAGCCACCGCCCAGCTATGCCATCTACAGCAGCAACCCATACCACTTACCTCCGTCAACATTCACCAGCCTTAGTAGACTACTCTACTAATTTGTGGCCAGTCGAGGTCTTCTCACTAAGGCGACCTGGCCGAGTTTTTTTTTTCACTGAAGCGACATTCTTCTATTCAGATAGATTGCCACATGCTCATTACGATGTTTGGTCTTGATTGAGCTCAAATGCCAACAGGAGGAGTTCGGACCATTCTATTTGCCTGGCGTGGCTCCCGGTGCTTCATTCGCATAATTCGCCCTTCTTCAATCGCTATTGAGGCAACCGTTCTCCAATTCACTTCTCAAAAATTTTACATTTGAGCGAGGAAAAGGATAGAAGGAAATTTTCATCATTCCCTCCCATAGAAATTACTTGAGAGGACCCAGGTCAACTACCGCTCGCTCGTACTAATATCTACTGATACTACCTACTATTTACATCCATTGCTCAGGCAATTGACTGTTCGGGGTAAATGATACTTTGACTGAGTCTTTTAGAAAGACGGAGTCATGAGATCCTTTTTTTGTCGGTGTTAAATCTGAGCACTAGAGCTTTTGAAAGCAAAATTTGAACCCACCTGGATCGTTTTATTTCCGCAGACTGGTCTCTTCGCTTTTCTATTGTTCTAGTATGATTCTTCTTTACCCAACTCTTAATTCTCGTAACGAACTAGAGACGCTGGAAGCACCTCCCGAACCTTTTTCTCTCGGGAGACCCACTTCATTTTGTGGTACCAATTCTCGTTTTCGCTACCTCGCTATTTTTCTTCCAGCAATTTCTCGAAACACTTCGTATCGTTTCAGAGTTTCAGATGCTTGCGGCGCTCTTTGCGCTCGTAAACGCGGCATCCGCTGCTTTATCCTCGTTCAACTATGTGCCGTTGGGTAACAATCCGACCCTGTACACACCTGGTTTCGAGCCAATAATGCATCTAGATCAGCACACTTTCGATGACACGATCTTCAAGCAGGATCATGCCTTTCTCGTCGAGTTCTATGCAGATTGGTAAGCTGAGGTCCTATGGTCTTTACTGCCTTTGGCTCTTGTTTGCACGTCTTCAATTTTCTGTCCTGCATAGCCATACCTTGGGCGAACTTCTAGACCGAAATCGGGAAATTATAGCTGACATGACTGTAGACGGGGTGATTCCTAGCGGCAATTGATTTTGTGATAGAACTTGTGAATGTGACTTTGGTTTCGCTTCTTTAAGCTTTTTACCCAAAAATCAGCTACTAGGAGTGGAACCCATCAGATTTATTCATCAATTCCGAAGTTTTATATCCCACTTTGTGCATGAGAAATCAAAAACTTTTTGTCACACACCCTGTTTCACATTTCGGGAATAGTCATATTGATCTTGTAGTTCTGAAGATTTCTTTCAAAAACTCGATAATTGGGTGAGGGACCATTCTGATGGTGCCTGCATGATTTTGAATATGCAAGAAATAAGCAAAGAACCACGTGTATCTTTGGTTGTTACTTTGCCTATGTAGGACCGATCCTATAGAAACCAGACTCGATCTGGGTCTTGAAGATGATGTTTCTAGGTCAGTATCCTCTACAAAGGCACGTTCTGAACCTGTTCAGGTGCGGACACTGTCGAGCTTTCGTTCCATTTTTTCGACAATTTGCAAATCTTGTCCGCGAATGGAATTCGGTGGTTACAGTGGCGGTGATCAACTGTGCGGACACATTCAACGCTCAGACGTGTCGTGATAATGGGATCACTTATTACCCAATGATCAAGGTAATTTTTGTTTTTCTAGCCAAGCACGACTTTATGAGAACAGGCGAATAACTCGCCCGAGAGATTTCTTAATGTTGATAGCCATCATCAGTAGATATCTCATATGATGCAAACCGGACAGATCCGAATCCTAAGAAAACGAATGGTAGCAGTTTGTTACACCTATTGTACTCCTGATTGACGAGCTTATAAGAACATCTCGTAAATCTGAGAATACCTGAACATCAGCAGCAGGAATCATGAACTGCTCAGTAGCAATAAATATTTCATTCATCCAACCGGAATTACTAAGTGAAGTTTACGGAATGCGAACCAGCAGCCCTTTTTTTTCGCATGACGGGCTCATCAATCTGTGACTAATGTGACAGTTGACTAGCCCACAATTTGTGGCAATACACAACATTGACTACGCCAGCAGCGTACATCGTTACGCTTTCGTGACAACCTACTCACCATGACCACACCCACCGCTGAAGGAACTTCAGTAATGTCCATGTTACCAAGTAAACCTGCTTACAAACAAAAGACAGACTATGATCGAAAGGCTACAAGAAGTAAGTAAATAGATGTGAATGTTCCCTATAGCTCTCTTCATCAGGCATGTGCTTTGAGGTGATTAGTAATCGCTTCTCCTAGCAGAGCCTTGGTCCCCATCTTACAAGAAGTGAAAAGGCCTCCAAGGCCTCACGTCAATCTGTCAAATCATAGGCTTAGTCTCTTCCAGCACTTATTCTGCCTTCAGTCGGGCTTCAAAACCAAAGGGGTGATTTGTTGTTCAAAATCGAAATCTACCACTGCGTTAAGACTCTCCACCTACTCGATGGATAGGGTAAGCACTTAGGCGTAAGCACCCACCTACGATACCAGCTGATATTCAAATCCCCATTCCTGACCTCACGAATAGCTTTTGCCCATTCGTCGGCCCTGGAATTTATTCTTTCGGACGATCCAGGCATGTCCTAAGCGAATTATTGGTTAGATGGAGGCGGGCCTTACATTCGCACCTTTACCAAGAGGTACGAGCAACTCTTCTTATTATTCTAGACAGTTTCTGCCGGCACGGTAAGTTTTCCGTGACCCTTCTCTTGGTTTGACGTAGGGCGTAGGGCGTGTAGTTCTAAACTTGAAATTGAGCTAGCTATCATCCCAGGAGCATTGCAGGGTCTAGTGCAGTCTACTCGTGTCACCGGCAATCCAGGATTAGATATTGTTGATGGAAAACTGAAAAATCAAGCGCTCAGAGCACCTGAGTTCGCATTGAATAACGACCGCTATCGATGTAAACATCAGCCAATTTGAAAAGAATGCTACGATGCATTCACGGCTCGACCAACGATTTCTGTCTCGACTTCGTTGCAGTTGTTTGCCAATCGTTCGTCGTCGTAATGCGACACCCACAACCCATAATTCGTCGGTCAGCTCAATGATCCCTGACTGTGGAGTGTTCTCAGAAGAACACGCGTAGTACAAACAGCGGAAACGAAAATGCAAATAGATCGGCTATCTCGAGGCCAAACTTCCAGCCCCAAACATTTTGAAATATGCAATACTTAGAATTGAATTTCAGTATTTCCCTCGTACTGCACGAACCCCAAACCAGGCTCGAATGATCGAAGCCCAACACTCAGCGGAATCTATGCGCGAGGCATTAATGAGGATGGTAGCGAACGAATATTCAGTCGCTAGATATCCTGACTGGCCAAATTTGTCTCATATTTACGTGGACAGGTACAGTGAGCTAAAAAGTTCAAGAAAAGGCAAGCTACATCAGCTGGGTATCCCTGTTTTCTAGTACTACCACCTATGGACAACTATGGGAAGGAGTGCCGGAGTCTGCCGACTATCTGGCAATCATCTTCGAGGAATATGACGGCATTGGAGTGCAGGTAGGTCATCATACGAATTCTGATGGGTTATTAATTCACATGGGTTAGGAGCCCTGAGGTTCCTTTGTGTCCCCTAAACATGGGTTGTTATGGCTTCATTTCAAAAATCCTTGTCTGTCTTCTGGCTGGATTTCCAAACTGTTGGCCAAGTTTTTCTTTTCAAAGTGTCATGGACGTTAACGCGAGCCCAATCACTGTCGGCTGCGCTTTTGACTTCAAATGAGCTTCAAACGACTTTCTACTTTTTGCAAACTAAAATGCTGTAATTTGACCATCTACTTTTTGGAGGACTGCAAACTCGTCCGACGCATAGCAATTTAACTGAGGTGAAATCATGTGGTGTTTGGGACCGCTGTGAACGACTACCTCCTCGCACACTGTTTGCTAACCAATGTCAGTCTGATGCGAGTTGAAAGATCACCTTCAGCGAGAGGAAAACTCGATTAAGAAAAAAATGAAAGAATCAGTATCGAAAATTGAGCTCGTCAATGAAGAGAACTTTTCAGTTCATTCTGGATCTCTCATCTCGATCTCATATGCTAGGAGCTCGACGTGCTCTCTCTAACTCACTGCTTGTCGGCATGCTGAGGATCACTGAATTCCCCACTGTTGCGCTTTTCAGAAGAGATCACCAACAGGCACTCTATATGATGAGGTCAGTCTTGGTCTCTTCACTCTCAATCTCTTGTGAATTGCCAGTATAAAATTTCTGATCACATCTGCACTGCAGTGATGGCAAGACAGACCCATCTCTCCCAATAAATATGCTGTTCAATGTAGAAACTCCTTCCTACGAGGGCAAGCTGGAACGGGACGCTCATCTCTCTGTTTCAGATACTCCAATTCAACCTACAGTGATTTGGATCGAATAATCATGAGAGATGCACATCTACTGTCAGGGTTTACCGTTATGCCCACCACAACAACGCAACCACTGACGACCACCTCACCTCCGATTGTGGACTGCAACCGCTTCCCAGACAGGCTAGTGTCACTATCATTCAGAATCGTAGAATTGAATACGTATGTGACCGATACAGTGGCTACGGTGGCCCGATGTACGAGTCAGTCTTTCTATCCTCCCATACGAGTCTGTTACCAACCAACGGATCCCAGAGGGATAGGTGGCTTAGTTTGCCTAGGCGGATACCGATACGTGATTCAAGTCCATGACCATGCCGGTGTGGAAGTATGTCGCAAGCCACTACTCATCCTCCCTTCCAAAGTAAAAACCACACAGTTTTGAAGGGAACAAATTCGACTAAGACGGCCAACTTGGTATTCTGATATGCCTGACATCTCTGAAGAACTGTTTGATTAAAATGAATCTTTCCACTGCTTGCACGTTCCACTCCTGGACTATGTTGAGCAGAAAGTATTGCTCGGCACACCACCAATCTTCTTTGTGACCTGGAACAGTCAGCCTTATTGAACTTGATATGCTTTCGAGCCGAACTCTGGCAGTTTAAACTGAATAACTCGATTGCAGATGTCGCGAAATGTTTTATATCTCGGAGACGGACATGCTCAAAGCAATGCGCATGGCTTTGTACGATGAAGTGATTCGCACACCGGGATATATCCAGGACGAAAACCTCACCGGTCTCACAGACTTCGTCACTCTTCTATCCAATGTTCGTTTGCTGCTTTAGAGTATATCTCGCTTCAATTCCATGCAAATTACCCGTAAAGGAAATGAAAAGGCTGAATATAAAAACAAGATAGCAAATTGGTTGGGGGTCCTTGGGAGGTTATGCTTTTCACCACTCACCCTCCCAAAGTGAGTCACTGATCTGCGCTCTGAGTTCAAAAAGACAGTGGGTTGGACTTAGAATAACTCGTCTAGGAAACAGTCACAGCTACATAAATGAGACGACTTATCTTTCATTTTTCTAACGCACGTCAGACGAGTTTCAGTAATAATTATTCTTCAACGGGGCAATTTTAGAGCTTTAGCGCTGAGGTGTTCATAATGTCCCTAGCATATCAACAGAGTTCTCAAATTCAATCACGAAAGTCGTAATTCACGTAAATTATTCCAGCATTTCCCCGTCCTTTCGTTTTCGAACGAAATTCGACGATCCAAACGAACCACATCAACGGTTGGTTGCCTATATTCGTTCCGTATTCATTTACTTTGAGTAGTTTTACTTACCTTTTTACCTGTAGACATCACTTGAAGGATTCTCCCTACATTTTTTTTCTGATAGAGGGCTCCAATTTGAAAGGTTCTCGCCACTCCTCCGACCAAATATTCTTAATTACAGATTTTAAAAAACAGCGAACGTGCACGACTAGTCTTTATACATATGAGGGAATACTTGGAGTCGCGCAAAAGTCGTAATGCTGTACCTGTGGATGAGTATAAACGGCAATTCGAGAACGTTGAGGTTAGTCTACTGGTACGCTTCACCAAGCTCGAGATGCACACTCAAGTCAAGAGCATCTACATCTCTGAGCTAAAGGCTTTTTGTCAAAGACTCTCGTGACCGCACGTAAAAGCCAGATATCAAGCAAAGAAAAGATAAACTTCTTCACTGCGCCGCTAGGCTCTTGACTTCTGAAAATGGTTTAGGCGAAATCATTTAAAAACGAAGACGGTCGACCTACGACCGACCTGATTCTAATTTGATAAAGTGATTTCAGCGTGTTTACGCTCATCCATTCCCCGTCAACGCTTCATGGCAACATTGCAAGGGAACTTTGCCAACGTTCAGGTAATCATCAAATAAATTCGAACAACTCCGGGAATAGTTTCCCTTCTAATTCTTATCTGACCCACACCCTCGATCCTCGAAAATTCATCATCTGTGAACAGGAGCCAAACAGTTACTGAAAGCGATTCCGCCTGATATCCATACCGTTCCTTCACGACTTCGGTTCATTTTAACCCTCTCTTCTTCTTAACTTACCTCTCACCATCGAATTTCCCATCGAATTAAAGTCACCTATGAGTAAACCGAAGATCTGGCCTTCACAATCGACAGAATCTTTCATAACGTCTTCAAAATCGACACAATCTGCCCAAAAATGAACGCTCTTATATTAGGGTCTTCGACTTTTTTGATTGTTTGGCAAACTGACAAGCAAGCGTTGAATAGGTTTTTTTTATTTTGAGTGACAGCAATTAGAATAGAAAATTTTCAAGGGGCTACACTTGTGGACTGTGGACCACATTCCATGCACTCACTGTACACACGTACATTGACACTATCAAGGACAGTAACGTTAATGCTCTGAAACCCCTCAAAAGTATCCAGGTAGTAATTTGTTGACGTCTTCCCTTGAAGACTTGATCCTTCCCTCTAAAATCTTCTCTTCATAGGGATGGGTGCGTGGATTCTTCGGATGTCAACATTGTAAAAACCATTTCATGAACATGACAACCAATATCCTTCCAATGACCGAGCGACGAGTAAGTTATCCCTGTTTTGAAGCTTGACACGCTTAACTATGAGCAAAAAAAAACGAGTGGATTCGAACTTTTTAGGTACGACATCCACAAGACATGATGACGTATCTGTGGCGAGCACACAACATTGTGAACAATCGCCTTCATGGCGATCCCTCAGAAGACCCACAGTTCACCAAAGTGCAGTTTCCACCGCCGTTCCTCTGCCCAACATGTCATTCCGGAGGACAATTTAGTAGACGCCAGGTGGGTATTGCACACACTACAAGCCTTATTACCTCCACTTCCTCTATCTAGCAAAACAACTAAGCTTTCTGGATTCCCATTAAGATTCAAGGGGATACCTCGAAAGCACAGTTCACGTTAATTATGAGGCACCCTTTCAAATTGGGTAGCGGAAGTGTTGGTGGAGATTGGGTGCACGATGGCGAAGAAAGCGAGAAAATCGCATAAAAAAGGCTACCTTGAAGTAGTGAAAATTGTAGTTGTACGAGACTACCATTATGGAAATTTTACCTAAGGGGAATTTGACGAGATTTCAAATGTTGCAAATACGTAAATAGTTGACTACATTCAGTCGAAATTGTCCAGACTCACTGTCTCCGTGGGTCATGACTAGTTGTTTTAGTTTTCAACATGGGTGTCCCTTGTGAATGGTGCAACATGGGCGCCCCTTGTGAACGGTTTAGTCTCTTCGACGCCATTGAAACTAGTCCGCATTTAGATGTGGCGTACAGCCCATTCAATCTTTGAGCTGTTATAGCGCTACATTTAAGCTGTTTTTCGGCCGACAGTGCCACATATGATATTGGGCGAGACACAGATTCATCCTGGAGTGATCTTCCAGATACCATTTCTATCGTGAACTGTGTGGGAGTAACATTTTGCCCCTTACCATGCTGAGCCACATTTCCGATCCTTCTCCTGTCATTTGAGTGATTAACTGATCATCATTACGTGTCTTCGCCTCCTTGACTGCCTGCCGTTGGTAGCAAATAACTTTTTTCAACACAAATACAGCAACTATTCAGGTCCGCAACTTCCTTTTGCGATACTATGGAAACATCAAGCCGCATAATCGCCTCAGAAATCGTCAGCTTGCATTCTTCTGATGATGATTAGTTATCCATGGATACATCTTGATCATTTAGAATTTCAGAAAGTTAGATTCGTCCATTACTTATGTACATATATGCTATGTATTTGCACTGGACATTCTTCCCGGAGGTGTCCGATATTCTCACTTAATTATGCGGTGGTTAATGTTGCACAGACGTCAGTAGCTCTAACGGTCTTCTCAGATACTCTGTAGGAGCATTGCAGTGGTAATTGTCACATATGATGAAGACCAAACCGTCTATCCTCTAGTGGCAACGTGCTTTGCTCCTAGCCGAGTAATCTGAGGTACATACGGGTTTTGGGTGTACATTTCTGAAATATCACTTTTTTTCATATGTATGTTGCATGAGAAATGTCATCGCTATCTAAAAATGCAATTCACTTTATCAGTTTCTGGGTATGTTGTATAGTTTTGCTTCGCAGTAAAAAAGCATGTTCTCCTGGTCACACATCTTTACTCGTACAGAAGTTCAACTAAAAATACATTAACTTTCGCTAAGGATTACATGCAAACTCAGTGACTGTTAGCGCTATCTAAGTGTTCTCTGAAAGCCCCTGGTTTACATTTTCGAGATTAGTCCAACGTCGGGAGCAGGATCTAAGATCAATTTTTGTATTTCTTTGAATTTTGGATGAGAAGCGTCCCGAAGTAATCCAAGCAGTACGCATTCCGATGTGGTCAGCACAGCTCCAGCTCGATCCATTTGTTTGAAGGCATATTTCCTAAATCAAATCCAAAATAGATGCCAAAAGAAGAACAGCCTAGGGTAGACATTGGTGAGGTTCACTTCCCTATTCAGCCGATACTAACGAAATGTATGAGATTTGTAAGTAGTTTGTACCAAGAAATAGTAACGTAAAAGATCAGTCAAGGGGGTTACTACTGTTCACGAGAAACGATTTCTGTTCCTAGCTATAACGAATGCACCTCAATGTATAGTGGATGACTCAAAGACAGAAAAATGATCGGATTTTGGACGAGATTTTGAATATTCACAGTGCTATAGTGGGGGTAGTACTTATCTAAGGTGTTTTCAGAGCCCAATATACGCTCTACTCCTTATTTTAGTTAGCAACATATTTATTTGCAAGATAGAGTCGTGATCATCCCTTATTTAGTACACAAACCCTCACAGTTCCCCCACACTACCGAAGAGAGTTTAGTATACAATATATAAGGTAATGGGATACAAATGCACAATCCTTGAAACACGAGGTAAGGGGATATCACCGCTGAAGACCAGTGAGGATTATCACTTGTGAACTATTACAAAAAAACATTCGCTTCCATGAGAGCTAATAGATTTTACGCTAATAGATGGGCTAGTTTTCAGACAGAAGATCGGTGTTCACTCGATCACAATATCGAGGAAACGTAGCAAACATTAGCAATGCCGGTTGACAAACATTGACAAAAGACATCACCAACTTCTTCGAGATTTGCCGTTACTCAAAGAAGTTACTTGCTTGAAAAACATTTCGAAACCTGCCAAAGGAGCATGCGGGAAATCAAAGTCATCTCATTTCTCTTCCGAGAAATAGCCGTTTCTGGCAGTTCAAAGATAAGCAAACCAAATCAAAATGAAATGATTTCGTGGAAACAACAGCCGACTGCTAACTCGACCAATTATTTTTTTCATATCTTCTTGCAACAAGGAAAATATTTATCTTAAAGTTGGATGAGTGTTTATGCAACCACTGAGTCCTTCCCAATGTGTGAGTTAAAGTTACGCAAGCATCATAGAGCGCCCACCGCCGAGCAAACAGCTAATTAACACTCGACGCTAAGTATTCGTCAAAACTTCGGCTGAGTAACAAACCGCAAGCTGGCGCCCCTCTGGCGCCATTTCGGCGGTTATATGAGCAAACAGAGACATCAGCCTGGCTCCACGGGAGAAACGAATTAGCTCATGAGATGATGGAAGCTAATTCATGGCTAGCAGAACAGGTAGAGCGATGGCGATCGCTTGCTTGGAAATGATCACCGCTTTTGCATTTGCAAACCGTAACGACTTGTTCCAAGATTCAATTCAAAATGGAGCTCTGCGAAATGCATCGCCCATTATCACCTTGCAGTTCCAGTTCTAAGTTCGTATGAAAAGAGTTTACCATCTGCTACACTCTCTCTGAAACTGCAAAGTGTCGGAAAACAAGAAAATCGGTCACCTTCACATCTCTTCCATCTTCGACCGCTGGAAGCCTCAACAAACTTAACTATTGCAAACTTTCATTGAAAAACTAATGTTTCCAAAGAGGTACTTCCAAAAGACCCTTTATCTGACTTTTTTGTGGAATGTGAAGGATGATAACTGACATCAAGCTGAAGATGATACCAGTTGCTACATGTTCCTCATTTATTAGCGGAGCCCGGAACTATGGAAGAGAGTGCTACTCACGGAAATGTTTTGAACTCTACAGGCACTCATACCAGGAACAGTTGGTCAAGCCTTCTCAGCAAGTTCATTTGTCTGAGATATACTATCATTCTGAGATATACGATCAGTTGAACGTACAAGGAGAAAATCAGCTAATACAAGCAATGCTTCACGAGCCCCATTCCTATCGTCAACCTAGTTTCCTGTTCGAAACATTCACGAGCGATTTCCGAATGGAAAGCTGCTCGCCAAGCCGACAACAAAGACTAGCCAAGCAGTCAGACAAAGTGCACACTGCGATAGCTATATAGGGATGGCTGCGCCCCTTCAGTTGATAAGGGATAACGCCAACACCAGTTACTATCAAAAAGTCTAAACTGTAGCAACATTACTTCTCATCCATTCACCCAAAACTATTATAATTGCAATGTAGTACCACTGACAACCTGTTCGCAATAATTACATATGACTGGCCAATTAATTTTATTAACAGAAGCTTTTTACTAAGTATCACAACCCGGATGACGTCGTTACGCACGAGTCACATATCGTCGTAATAATGGGACGTATTGGAGCTCAAATATGAAACTGTAAGTAATAAAATGCTCTGCAACAGGATTAAGGCCAAGAGGAACTGCCAGATATGACTAATGAAATGGTTATAGCGCAATCTATCCTGACCACTTTGGTATGAAAGAACGTACAGTAGCGCTCAAATGTATTCGGCCAAACGCTTCTTCACTCGTACCTTTCAGTCAACTCCTTTCCTACTGGATCTAATCAAGCGAAGTAGTATTTGTAGCATCGGTGTAGTGTGAATATTTACCACTATTAACCGCAACCTGATCATGTTCAAGATATCCAAAAGGGCTTGAACAAAAAACCAACTGGAAATACGAATNGTGGTACTTCTAGGAGTCCTTTCCTTTTTGCCATTTCTTAAGTGTACGAGCACTAATGTCGAACCCAGAAGAGAAGAAAAACGTACATAAGGTCGGAATAACTGCAGACGTCACAGTCTTGCTTTCAGCACAGGCTACAAACGCCTCCCCATTAGTATGTGGATATGGCTACTTTGCAGTCAAGTAGTGTTGGGCAGTGTAAAATATGCTTCAGCTAAACATATCAAAATTTCATGTGATTTGCTCCACTGGGAAAAAAGTTACGGCACGTTAAAGTTGGCCGAATACTTTTGAGCGCTACTGTATACGTTTTGAAGCATTTGGTTGTGCTGGAGAATGTCATCACTTAGTAAGCCACTATTCGTTGGTGGATATCAAGTGCGGATTCCACTATCAAAAACGCAGATGATACCAAGACAAGTCCGCATCAAAGAAAGGCATCATCTCCAGAAAATTCCCTTGATCCCAAGATTCCACACATCGATATCTTGCTCACTGAACTTCGAGATTCAATGACTATCCAGCTCAGAACACGACCTAGAGTTTGATCGTTTTTACATTTCTACTCTCATCTTTCATGACTTCTTTTGTCAATCAACTTGTTTCAAGCCTTGCTCTTAGCTCACCGTCAGACACCGAACGTTTGCTTCGCCCTTACTGTGAAGGATTTTTTCGTGACGGACTGTGCACTGTAGAAAGTTATCACAAAAAAAAACATCGTATTTCACACAAGCATGATGTTTCGTTGCGACACGTGCCATACATCACACATCTTCTGATGAAGTTTCTGTGTTTTCACATCGGTTTCTTCTACTACACCTCTCCATGGCTTTTCCTCATGCTCTGATTTGGAACCAAAGTTAACTCCTGCAGAAGAAATACATTCCCTTGTCACCTTTTTGAAGGTGCAGTTTGGAAAAAACGGTTCCTGAGATTTTCAACTCATTGTCAGCTGTGGCGGCCTCCACGTTGGCCAAATTGAGCGCTGTTGGGTCAGAAAACGGCATGGATTGGGCACAAAAACGGATGGGAGAACGACCTCGTCGACGTCCGCACCCTATGACGGATGAGTTTCAACGGGGCGCTGTGGAGGCTACAACATGCACAAGGGATACCTCTATTCAAATTCCAAGCAACTAGACATGAGCCTCACAAATGGAAGGCAGTTCTTGACATTTCTGGCTCAGCCTAGTGAGCTCCTAGGCAATTGCGACACCTGGAATCTCGTCCAAATACCAGCGCGGGCGAGCTTGCATCTGTGGACTGGAGTACCATTCTGCTGGGAGGACTACAAGCTTATTCAGAACGCAGAATCGTTCATCAGAACGCCCTTTTAGCAGTTTTGACAATTTTCACGACGGTACCGGCGAAATCACGGGTGTCTTAACATTGCCAGTGACTCTCTCAATAAACATCACTTTGATGTTCTTGTAGCAACTTTTTGTGAAAGATTGCACGTCCGATGTTCATAGCCAGAACGTGATCGTTTTATTTGTTGAGGAATGGTTTTTCCGTGGTTTTTTGTTACAGAGTACCGATGGAGGGTTGCGTGTCTCCAGCGAGTTAGCAGATTTCTGTATTTTTGATCCCTGCACTGTATGTTGAGAAATGAATTGAAGTGACATCTCTGCATACGATAGGAACTGCAATCAAGCTTCTGCTAGACAATCCGCCCAGCGACAGCCTCAATGAACCCTGCTCCTTTGCGATCTTTTCGATGGGTCTCCCAAAATCACGGTTGACTTGAACCCTCCTTTTTAACAGTCCTATCTTTAGTGACACTGGCTTATCTCCCCTTTCTGATTTGTTTTTAATTGAATCTTCTTCTCTATATCGTTTAATAGCCTTCCATAATTTTGGAAAACCTTTACACACATGCACGAGCACACCCACAAACCAAGAGACACCTTAGCAGATGACAGAAAGTAGAATAGTAGGAAACTTGCATCTCACATGGAGAAAATAGATGAGAAACAATTCAGAACTGGGAAAGCTGCTCTTCGAATGTAACCGAATCGAAGTAAAGTCCTACTCACTGGGGATCTGCGAATGGAGACCCAAGTAAGTCGTGCTGTCGTGAGTATGAATATATTATCAATTCCCCAAACTAGACATGAGGGTATGCTCGAAGGCAGTATTAGCGCTTCAGATGAATGAAAAGGCAAAGGCGTTGTCATTGTGTGAATGCATACCCTGACCTACATATCTTCACTTCTACTGGACTCTCAGAACTATTCTGTGCAGATAAGAAGTTACGAAGCTTCTCACCATGGTAACTGCCCTTGAGATAAAGGATAAAGGGATAAAGTTATTGATGTTAATCAATTCCGCCTGAGGGACGCGCCCCTGCACTCGACTTCCATTCAGAATCGTAGTGGCGTAATGAGTGCGTATGAGGCCTATACAATGACTTGCGGTGTCCAGCCGATGTACAAGTCAGTCAGTCAGTCAGTCAGTGATGTACAGTCACAGTCAAGTCCAACACTCAAAGGGTTACCTGTCAGGAAGTGATCTGGAGCTGACAGCGTCGACCACCACATGCACGTTTTTTCCTCTCTCGAGAAGATCAAGCGTTGTTTGAAGCACACAGACATGAGCTTCGATTCCAACCAAAATTATATTCTCTGAGTTCTTCAAGGCCCCATCAAGCTCCGGAAGGCACATGGAAAACTGAAAGCAGTGTTACCGAGCAGTATATATATTAGTTCTTGACTGAATCTTAACCCATTGACAACTCCAACTTCTGAATATACATCAAATAAGCCAATAAGATTTCTTTCAGAGGTCAAAACTCACTAAAAATTCAAGTTTGAACCAATCTGATAACTAGGAAACACCGCCCTCTCTGCCTAATGTAAGTTCTGATCAGGAATCGGGAAGAATAGTTTACCTGATGAATTTTCCTGCGCTGTCACGCTTTCCCCTGCCAGATCAGTGGCTGACTCCTCAACCCTCATTGAACTTTTATCATTTAAAATATCATAACCTATTGCAACAGTGATATCGTTTATTTTGATAAGTTTCTCTACGGTCAAACTGAAGTAAAGGAGGTCCTTGATTCCAGACTTACGCCCATCTCTCGACGAAACCAGAAAAACGAATGTTGAAAGCCTCAAAAGAAACCAAAGATGAGTTCCTCCTCAGCTCATATTTGCCACCACTTTTCCGATAAGTGCGCAGGATGAGCATTGAAAGACTTTACGCCATGTATGTCATTTCTCACTCAATGTATCGATAGTCATCCTGAAATCTTATCCTAACCGCGCTCATTGGTGACGCTCTCGCGGTTTCCGTTCTGAACTGAAGTTCAGCGAGCTATCCAGCTTTGCCGTTGAATGTTTTTCCCATCTGAGGCTATTCGTTTGCCCATTTCACTCCTATTTGTATTGACAATTGAGACGCCTTGTAATGTCATGAAATAGATACAAGCACAACGAATGAATTTCGGAAATTTTTGTAAACTCTTTGATCGGACTGGGTGCAATTCCCTCATCGCATACAACGACAACAGCTTTGTTGGTATAAAATATTTGACCCAAACCGCGAAACCTGTGTGACACTGATCACAGCTAAACCGGTATCGGTAACTGTCGAATTACCGCTGCTGCCACTATTTCCTGATCCCATGTAAGACGAACATAGACCTACGGAACTCTTCGGTGTGGCCGCCCGTCACAAAGAAAAATGAATTTTGGAGCACTTGTAACGTATGTTTTTTACGGGTATCAAGAATAGACCCCGGCTGTCACAAGGCCCGCTCGTCTTCTCTCGCCCTGTGACAGCCATCGATTTACACAGCACCTAAGGACCGATTCTATTTTTCATTCATTTATTGCATGTGTCGGGCAAATATAAGAAGCACAACTCGAAAGCATAGCTAAAATGAAATCACGAAAAGAGAAATGAGAGTTACTACTGCATTTTTTCGCCCAGTGTCAGCCCCTACAGCTATAAACAGTCCCTATCAAATATGCTCGATTCCGACGCATCCCACATCATCAAGCAAAAAGGCAAGCATTCACTGTAAACACGAAGGGTATGAGAGCGAAAAGCACTTACCTTCTATGACCTCTTATCAGCCCCATTATTTGTTATTGTTTCTGATACCAACCGCTGTCACACCTGACAACCTAGCAAACGGTCAAAGGCCCACTGTTAATGCGAAAAGCGCAACTGTTCCACTGGCTCGTTCCTTCGGAGGCTTCCTATCATCCCCTTTCAGTTGTTATCACTTCGTCACCCGCCGTCAATGTTATGTAAGGTAATATACAAGGAATAAAGCATGTTTAGGCCAATATCCTTGCCAGAGGTACTCCCTAAGGTACTGATGAGCCCCGATTAGATGGTAACCTAATAGAATAACCCGCTAACTTGAATTGTAATTTCTTCAGTTTAACAAATTTTGGCATGTAGTTACCCTAAAATTCCATAGATAAGAGCGGTTTAGTTTAACGGTGAAAAACTAATTGGAAAAAATGAAATTGAATGCAGTCACCCTTCTAACTTGATGGATGGTTAAATAAAAGTCGGAGGAGAAGTTTAGAAGAAGCTCCGCCCCTCATCTCTTAAACCCCGCCCACTTAATAAACAATTCATATAGAANTTCTATATGAATTGTTTATTAAGTGGGCGGGGTTTAAGAGTTGAGGGGCGGAGCTTCTTCTAAACCTCTCCTCCGACTTTTATTTATCCATCCATCAAGTTAGAAGGGTGACTGCATTCAATTTCAATTTTTTCCAATTAATTTTTCCGGTAAACTAAACCGCTCTTATCTATGGAATTTTAGGGTAATTTACAATGAAAGCAGAGAAGTTCTGTCAAACTAAAAGGTACATGGGGATGACTTGAATGCAGTTTTAATTATCACATCAATGCAGATTCCGAACGATTTCCGGAGGAGGCTGACCATCGAACGAGTTCTTACCACCAAACGTATTAACTCTGTAAACCTTATTAATGCGTATTTCATAAACCTCAGTAATGTATCAATTGGTTCCTATGTGTAGATAGCTGTACTTTCCCATAATAGTTCAATGACGCGATGCGGAACGTTCTCCATTTCTAACGGTGTTGCAGTTATATTTTGGCTAACGTACCTTGGTTTTCTCAAACTTTTCGATGTCCTGAAGACCTAAGTCCGGAATTGTATGACCAAGCCCTTTTGGATACTGCTCAGTGACAATAATGGGCATCTGCAGGATCTTGGCTGCATCTACCATTCTCTTGGCAGTTTGCGTGATGCCCGGGAAGAATTGTATGACGTTCCTGTAAAAATTATAAAGCAAGGTGTGATATAAATCTTCTTGAATAATCCACTTCAGTAGACTCCAAAATCAGTAGAAACGTCGCCTTTAGTGACTGAGTTACAAACCTGAAGCGCTCTTGAAGATCGCATACGAATAATGCAGAATTCTTAGGAGTGAGACGACTGATCACACGTGAGGCCATCACTCTGAAACATGGAGGATGCAGGTTCTATGCGGAGGTGATAGTCGGAATAGGTTTTCTCAAGAATAAAGCCTTCAAAGTCAGAAAATCAGATCGGATGTTAAAGAATGAAACTCACAAAGTTCAAATACGAGACAAGGCCGGCCACAAGTTTAGATAAAACGAGATATGTGAAAATATTGGACATTAGCAATCAGCAATGAATACGGTAAGCTATGTTTCAAGTGAGACGATACAGCTGTATCCAGTTGTGAAAGTCAACAGAGGAGAGTCAGCACCTTCCGTGGGAAGAAAGGAGCAGCAAAAAAAGAGCAGTACAACAACCACCAACTATCCCCTACTACCCCATTTCCTGCCTTCTCTGGCCTCAGCCAACATTGATCGAAAAGTTTGTATTATTTCGATTCTTCGCAAAGGAGTTTCGTCCGTGCAGCAATGGTTATCATCGCCAATAGATTGACTTCTTAGGCAATATCAATATTGACTAGGAATCAGTTCTATCTGGGATACCGACAGCGATTTAAACCAACAGCTTAGAAATTAAACTCTAAAATCGTAAGCGCTGAGAGGCTGCGCTCATACTCCGCGCCTCCCATTAAGGCCTGACGCATGGCGGGAAACGTCCGATTCCACCGTTAATGGGACTAGGTCATGTCGCACACGTAGCGTGGGGCATGGTCCATTGCGACCTTGAGATGGGCACGTTCGAGCCGTGCAAGGGTTTTACGGTTTGAATTATTACCGCGCGAGGTATTCGAATGCAACTTAGAACGTGCCAGTGAAAAAAAAANAAAAAAAAATTACGACCACTTGTAGAAAAAGCAAAGTGAAGTAGAATAAGAAATGTCAAAATTTTTTCATGTAGAAAATAGACGAAAATTAAGAATTGAGGCAGTGAGTTGAAGAAGATTGTCTGCCAGAAACGTGCAGGAATGCTGCAGCACCGATGTCATGTTGAAATGTCCGCGCGTGGTAAAATAATTCAAACTGCGCGGTTCAAACGCGCCACCTTGGAGTCGCAGAGGGCGCGCGCGACGTGTGCGGCATGACCTAGTTTCATTGACATGGGAACGAAGCGCATCCTTTTATCCCATTAATTGATCTACTGAATTGGATTTAGATCCATATCTGCTCTGCTCTGTCCTGGTGGCTGAAAGGGCAGAACATATTCAGAATAGGAAGTCAGAGCCTAAATTTTTATACAAATATCCGCATAATATCCAAAATAATACAAAGCGCAGGGCCTTTCAAGGGGTGCTTTCAAAGTTCATGACGTGCGTTGTTTCAACCGACAACCAACCGAGTGATCGTGTTGTTAGCCACGCGTTGACAACGCAAGATACAGATCAGAACCGCTCACGCGGCTCTGAACGCAACCTGTCTTGCGTTGTCAACGCGTGGCTAGTAACCAAGATCGGTCGATCGGTGGTAGATTGAAACAATGTACGTCGTTGAACTTTGAAAGCACCATGAGGCTGTTTTCAGAGTTGCGTCCAGCGTTGTTAACAAGTGGCTGGCGCCGCCGTCGCTCACATATGGCTACTCATCCAATTTCTATCTACCTGAGCACGCATCAAGTAAGATGCAACACAAAAATGATTACTCACAGTGTGAATGCCCTTTTCAGTTGACGAGATGAAAAGCAGGAAAGATCAGGTTATCTATTTTGCTTTGAAAAGCAGGAAAGATCGGAATATCCATTTTGCTTTTTAGAAGGTTCGAGTGTGAAATAAACAAAGCAGACATGAGTAAAAGATGAAGTTCCAACCGCTAAACCGATCGGCAGTGGTTCATCGATTCCAGTGAGAAAAGGATACATCTCTATACAGAGCAGAGAACTGCACTTCAAAGCGTCATCATGTCTAGCCACATGACGTGCCTTTGGCTCCCCTTCCAACAAAAAAACTGGCTAAGCTTACAGCAGTAAGAGTATGAAGCCAATAAGATTGTCCATCTTTATTAGTTTCTTAGCACCCTTTCAAAAAAGGTGAAAGAAATTAGGTCGTTGCAATTGGTAGCCACAAGTTCGTTGGAAAAGAGAACCTGCTATCACGAAAACTAAAATTGACGCCTGGATACATAAATATGAAATATTAAAAAACGTCAGACTTCGATGTACGAAATATAGTGAGCATATTCACCAAAAAGCAAAAAAAGTATGTTAAATTGGAGGAGCCAAGATATTTGTAGAAAGGATAACACCTAAGAAAAAATACACAACGTCATGTAATTGTTTATTCGGAAGTTTGTTATTCACAACAAGCTCGTGAAATGACTGCTTGAAAACCATCAACAACGGCTTCAAGTCAGCGAATATAAAGTTGCCTAATCGTCGGACACTATACTACTCTTTCCAAGGGTTTTACATAGAAGGACTGGTACAGAGGAGGAGATAAAAATTAAATACAACTACGTCGTATTACAAAATGACAAGGACTAGTAGCTTCGATACTGCTGCAGTTGAACGGGGCAAAGGTTCGCCATAAGTGTCGTTGTTTATTTACCTTGTCTTCCATGTTCCTTGTTGACTGAAATAATGGAAGAGATGGTGCGGAGCAGAGCAAGTATGGTAAAATCGCTAAAATAGGCGGATTTTGAAAAGTAGAAGTCTGCCAAAAGTAGCGAAATTAGGCGATTGTACGAGCTTTTCATGGCGGAATTGGAAAGGAAGGTGTATATGGGCGAGATGTCAGCATATGCAATTGCGTAAAGAGCTGATAACAGTATAGAAACCAAAAATTGTCTCTTATTGTTGCCATGGGTCACCGACCAGTTTGAATTTTCGACGTGTGTGAGACATGGCCTCTTTTGGGTGCGAACGTCGGCCAGACAGATACTTGACTCCTGATTGCGCCTTATCTAGACCCCTTTCGACATACTGCACACCATATGGCATTCCTGAAGACTACAAGTTCGTCCCAGTTGAAAATGTCGGAAACTTTTTTTTCAACGTTAACTTACCTTCAAGCAGCGCTGACTTTTCGTTTGTCTCCGCTTTCTCAACAAACTTGTTAAAGGCGGGTGTTCGGTTGAGAAGGCTGCAACCTCCTTTGAGGCGATTTCAGAGAAGCAGTAGATTCCTTGAAAGGGTAACAATAGTCAACCATAAAACTTGCCAATAATATGTAGTGCTCACCCCATGACCTAAAACGACTCCCAAGAAGTTCTCTAAAATCTAGTTCCTACTTTTCAATGACCGACGGATTCGAGCGACTGGTTCTGGGGAGAGCGTCTGGGTTCAGACACTCTTCTCGTCCACATTCCATAAACCTCGAAATACGTAATGACCTGTACAAGACAACGACACAATTATCCACTACTTGATGAGTTACATTAGGATTCGAAGGAATTTTGCGAGTGATTACTTCACTCCTAATGATTGCTCAAAGTTTGCATTGATTGCTCTTTGCTTTCCGTAGCATCTTTTGTATTGTTTCATGGATCATGCAGTATACAGTAACAGTAACACAGGTACAGTAACATCTTCGGTCCCTCTTTCCCTCCAGAAAATCAATTCATCAATTTGTTGAGTCCTCCCCTGGAAAAATTCATTTTCCTTCTTTCAATCGGGAGGAATCTTGTTCCGCCTGAACATGAAATAAGTTTCCTCCCGACTCGCGCGCTCTGTATACTAATTCTCCACTACCGGAAGATTCGATACAACTAGTTCGGTGGTTAGACGATGTTCGTCAATGTGATATCTCACCGGAAATAGCACAATCCCTATAAGGCTGCCTGGAGCCCTGATGCCAAATTTAGTGGAACTATGGGGTATATAGAGAACAAATTATATATCATTCATCGACTCTATTTGGGATGCGCTCTCGACTTAAATTCAGAATGTAGTGGCGTCTCGAATGCCTATGTGACCCATACAATGCATTGCGGTAGTCGGCCGCATTGTGAAAGTCAATGTTTTCAATTTTTGTTCTCCCACACACTCTGAAGCCGAATAATCGACCTCGGGAGGTAGAAGGCTCGGTTGGCCTAGACTTATATCGACCCGGGATTCGAACCCGTGATCATGCCTGTGTGATAGCGCGCCACTTGCTGCCATCCCACCTAATTCCCCTAGTCTATATTATTGTTAAATCATTCTAAAACTGCCGGAGTAAAATACATTGATACAGTCAGCAGTTGTTATCGAAGCTGTACTGATATATCGTTTTGAAATTATCCGCTGCCGTTTCAGACTGCATCACGAGTTTCGTATTAAGAACGTGGAAAACCGAATTTATGCTTGAGAACGGCAGAACAAGTACATCGCAAATTATAGTAAACAATGAATTATATTATGAGTATTTTTGCCGATCCAGAAAATAATTATGGTACGGTAGGGCCTTCCAAAAAATAATTAAGTATGTTAGACGTCTAGAACGATCTTACATGTCCATTAAAGACGAATCAGGAATCCCAGGCGTTATGATCTTCTGAATTTCCTTGAAATTTGGATGAGCTGCATCCTTGACCAAGCGTAATATGACACATTCCGACGTGGTTAAGACGGCACCGACTTGTTCAAGTTGTTTGAAACCATATTTTCTGAAGAATAAAGCTCTGCTTTTGACATGAGACATTTCAAAAGCGCTTCAGAATTAGTTCGAAGTTGAACTCGAATAACGTGGCGAAATGAACCACAATTTCAATTTGGTTTCACAACTAATATCCGTACAACGATAATAAACCATCAAGTGCTGAATGGTGGTCTTTATTCTAACCTGTCCACAAGTGTTCTGGCCGTAACAGCATCCACCACGACATTCACATCAATTCCTCTTTCTATGAGAGCATAAGTGGTGTGAAGAATACATACATGAGCCTCCAGTCCGACAAGTATCACACTTTCCTTGCCTTCCAAGCTTTGTACAACCTCTGGTATACACATTGAGAACTAAAATGATTTCAGATAATGAAATTTCTCTCCGATACAACAGTACCTGCTTCTTAAATATCGATGAGCTGACAAAAAATTCAAATTCAAAAATAATTCAAAATTCAAAAATATCAAAATACTTATCTGTCTTGATGAACTTCGAGCAGAGGTCAGGATCGACGGAATAGTTTAGCTCAACCTAGTGAAAGTCAGACACACCCTATTGACTCCCTCTGGCAATTAGTGAAGGCCACCGTAAGTATTATAGTTATAAATACACCGTAACACGATAACGTCAATGTCTGAAACCTGCCAATCTCTGCTTACTGGCATTTGACCAAATTAGAAAGTTACGCTATGAGCAGTCCCACTCCTTATATTACTTATTTATACAAATTGGTATCGTCTTCCACGGTGGCATAGTGTTTCCATTTCGTAGCTCCATCATTGTGCCAACGTCTATGGTGACTCCCTCCGTAAACCCCGCCCCTAATTTGTAGGGCGTTGAGCAGATCAACGATAACTACGTCCGCATGCTTCTTTGAACAGTATCAAGTGCAATACGTAGGTTCTTCCGCTTTATTGAGCTGTAAGGAGCTATAATACTTAACATTATTCTGCTCTTTCATGGGGGTTCAGCCACTTCCTGGCAAAAAAATCTGCTTTTGTTCTATAAAGCGCTCAGGCGCTTGTAAGCGAGTGACCCGTAAAATTCTTAACTAGCTTTTTACTGTGCATAACGCATCAGTTAAATATAAGGAATCCAAGTGCCTGATATTCCTGTAATATTGCAATAAGATAACTTGCATTATTTTGGTAACTTTTTGAATTACTTGGGTTTTCGGGTGTCGAGTCACTTTTTCACCAAGCCCAAGTTCCGGAACTGTAGGCCCGAGTCCTTTCGGGTAGTGTTCCGTAACGATAATTGGAATGTCCAGAATGTTTGCCGTATCGATGACGCGTTTCGCTGTCTGGGTGACTTCCGTAAAAAATTTGTTCGTCTTACTGAAAATATTTGCCTAAATACCAATAACTCTTTGTATCGAAACAAGGCCCACACCCACACTCAGTTTGCCCAACACAACATGATAAAACTGAATCCTTTTTGAGATGCTTATATTAATGGATATTTCAAAAGTGAAAGATTAGGCAAATTGAACGAAGTGAGAAACATTACAGGAGCTCTCTACAAACTCACCTGAACTTCTCTTGCATGTCACAAACAAACAGCGCTGTCTTTTTAACATCAAGACGAGGAACCAGTCGAGTGAGCATTTGAGCTAAGTTAGTTCTAAAAAATTTACAACTCGCAAAAAAATGAAAACAGGAGGAAGGTAGTTAGAATAATCGACGATCGAAAAAACAAACTGTAACCACAGTGTATCACACGACAAGCAAGTTACGTTTTTTTTTCATAAGTTTGATTCGAGGCTGGCTTTTTATCAAGGGGCATGACATTGGACTCAGTTCGTCAAGCTCTACAAAGTGATACCTTAAGGATCTATGAGAGCTTTACTCTGGAATAGCTTAATTTTCAGGCTACCTCCATGTTAGAGACATTTCGTTTAGGAATGTAAAGATTGTGATGAAAATTAAACATCTTGAACTACAGTCAGTGTTCTGTGAAAATTTCGTGTCCGGTTTGATCATAGAAAAGCGTTCCCTCTGTAGGATAGTCTCAAAAATCTGAGCGTGGCATAGCCCGATTAATTCACTACCTATTTCTCCATCAAACCGAATTACGCAGCTGCAAACAAACCGTTCGATTCCCTAGGACAGATACTATTCAACGAAACATACATCACGCCTAGATGAGAACATTGTTTGGCTTCCATATTCAACCTCAGATTCTCCACGAACCAATATTCCAGCCCTGAACGCCAGCAAGTATTCACGTTATCGACGCACGTTCAGGGGTGAAATCGGAAGGAGACGACTGCCTAACAGATGTCAGGTCTACTTGCAAATGCCCCTCACAGAATCCTTTGCCGGTCGCCCATAATACGATGGATGACCTATTTCCCAATTTGGGATCTAGGCTACATAAAGTGAGTCTATCATCGCACGCTGCGCTGTTCAGGACTGGAAGATAAGCCGTGAAGAACAAAAGGCTGGAAATGTACGCAGAACTAATTCACCTGCGTCTCGTTAAATAACATTTATTCATGGTTAACGAACAACGGTATGCATTAATTTAGTGAAGAAATAGGAGGTGGTCATACCATTTATGCCACACAACTGAGGAAACGCTTTCCTGTGATCAAACGGAAACAAAATTTACTAACTGTAGTTCGGGATCGCCTGTCGATTCCGCTACCGTCTTCTCCGACTCAGACGAAATATCCCTTGGAACCTGGGATGTTAGTTCAAGCCATTTTACAACAAATTAGTCTTGAACGGGCCTATGGCATAGCTAAAACAAGGATGCCAAATGCGTTTCTCACGCGAATTAGGTTTCCATACGGTGAGGATGTATGTACCATGCAAGGGTTAAGCTTTTGGCTCCACTCAGTTCTTTATAAGACGTCATGGACTCTACTACTACATTCATTCACTATAAATGAGTAGATACGGAAAATGGTCCATTTCAACCTAATGATGATAACATTGATAAACATCATCTAATCGTACACTGAAACGGAATGCTGAGTAAAGTAGGTACGTCACAATGCCTTTGATGATGGCCAGCAAAGACACTCGTTCACATCCAAACCACGACAAAGTTTAAACTGAAAGACATTCAAAAGAGTCATGGTTTAAGAAACCTTCAGAACGGCTTTTCTACTTGATCCATATATTTATTTAAATCTGAATTATCTCTCGCGAAACTTAATTGTACATAAATATGTAATATACAGCCAGAAATGATGTAAAGAATGCATAGACAATAAATTGATAAACGCTGGTATGTCAGATCGTAAACGATATTATCTGAAATATGCTTGGGGGTGATACGAAGCAATGTAGGTTAGAACAAACATACAAATTATGCACAGAAGAGATGAGCAACTAGCAAGACAATATAGAAATATTACAACCTAAGTCTATTAGATGGCAAGTTTGTAAACAATAGCATAACTTAATAATATGCAAAAAAAATCACATCATGCTCAATAGAAACCGTAACCTTTTAGTCGATAGAGCATGGAGAAAGAACGAAATTTCAGCTCAGCAGTTCTTAATGGTGAACGAATGGTCAAATGCATAAATAAACCTCTATATTCTCCTAAAGTGAAAAACGAAAGAAAAGAAGAGTGAATAGGAAATGCGTAGCAGCCACTAAACAAATGGAAGCGAAATCGAACCGTAAGGAAACCTGTACATTATCCACCTCTTGAATAGATCATGAAAGTGAGAAGAGAACAAATAAGCTTGGCGATAATTTATAGAAGTTAAACGTGGGACGCTTGTTCTCCGCCGGCGAAGGAAGCTGGAAAAAATATACAAAATCCTCAAATAGGTAACACCGAAATTAAGTGGGTGATTAGGGTTGAGAGCACAATTTCCTAGAAAACTGAAATAATAATAAAATAATACGAAAATATGGAAAGCTTGATCGGTATTTAACAACATTATGGGCCGTGCAATAATCACGACCCCCTGAAGTGAAGGACGTCCTAAGTATTCCAAAAAAATGTGTAAAAAGACTTGGAAATGTCAAATAAGGTTTAAAAATTAAATCAAAAGCGCTCATCTTTTTATGCTCTCGAGGGCACTGACAATTGGTATCGTAAGAGATCCATCATACGTTCACCCCACGTAGGTGTTGAAATGCAACGAACCTTCTCTCGCAGTCTTCTCCCTTGCCGCTGTAGAAGCTTCAGAAGCATAACTTTGGAGATTCATAGACCTTCTTAAGGAGTAGTAAGGAGCAACAGAATCACAGATGCTTGCATTGCAAATGGAGGAGCTTCTGGCAGTGGTTGGATGCAACTTTCTATGAAAAGAAGAACGATCGAAAGTGGGCCTAAACACAATGTTAAAGAGCATCTTGAAAGGTTCTAATCAAAACGAAAGAATGGGAAGGCTGAGCATGAGTGCCCAACTCACAGTCTGTAATAGGTGGGTTGCACAACAGTAATAGCAGCTTGAGGAGGCTTCGCTGCGACGCGGAGTGGTCGTCTGGACTGTGTATCTAAAACCTTAATGATTATAAACAAAATTTGTGATGCCTCAAATAATTGTAATTAAGATGAAGAACCTTTCTAAAAAATTGTGAATATCTGGAGAAGCTAATCTGAAAGAGCAAGAGGACTACATTTAAAGGAAGCTTGTGGAGAAGACTATAAATAGTTCGAAAACTCATTGGGTAAGAATATCGACACACAAAGAGGTCAGGGCGCTTAACTACCCTAAAAGGAGTAAATCTAAATCCCGAAACCCTTAAACCATCAAATATAATAGCACAGAACTAGAAGACAGAAGAGTGAAAGCCAAAAGTAAGAATGGCTTAGTTGAACGAAAAAAACGGAGAAAAAACTGCTACCTAATAATGGTGAACACTCCTCCTCCTCGAACTGCATTAAATCAACACATCTGAAATGCCACGTTCACAGCACAGCACAAATACGAAAAACAACATTACGCAAATCAAAGTAAATAAAAGAAACTAAGAATCATGCAGATCAACCACAAGACAACACTATGCATCGCAATGCAAAGTGCAACTCCAATGATTTCGTTTCTTATAAGCAGCTACCGCGTAAATGAGAAAAAAATCGAGCAAACTTTCGAGGAAATGACCTTCGAAAAGATATGCTGGAAGAGTAAAGTGTACACAAAATCAGATTAGAAATGGTAAGATGTACAGGTAAATAAAGTAAGGCTCGATTAGTGAAATAATGCTAGGAAACTACGACGTACGCCAAATAAACACCACAAACTGACTTCCATGCAAAAAATGATCGGATTTTTTTCATAATTCTAAACCAAACTACTCGGCAATGGTTTGGTGCATAAGAGTCTCACATTCAAGCAGTATTCCTTACGAGAATACAAATAGACTATGTATTGGGATCAAAGCAAACGAGCTTTAGAGAAATACGTTCCTTGCTTGATTCATCTTAAATGAACTCACCAGCTCCGTAAAAGCTTGTGACAGAACTCGTCTCCTTGTTTAGATCAACAGGCTCTTGCTTAAAAGAGGGCCCTCGTTGGACTGAAGTCGAATGATGCCTCGCAGATACTCTGGGAACATTTCGCTGTAAACCCTTGTTGGAAACAGTAGATGCTGGGGATGGCATTGGCGAAGCGGCGCCTGAATAACTGATGATTAAGCCTGAAGTTCAGTGATCAACTGATGAGTGGCTACACCATTTTGCGAACCTTTCGATTTGCTTGCCTGCGCCAAACCAAGCATTTTCTGAACAGCCTGTGGAGAATCTACTCCGAACATCCCACCACCACTTTTGAAACGACGCTGCTCTGTTGAGTTGGACTCTGCCGATTGAGATGACAAAGAAGAAGGAGATGGGCTCGGAGCACGGCGCACGCGTAAGCCTTAAAAAGTAATCTTTTCCTCATGAATTTTGCAAACTTCTGAAATGAACCTGCAGTACACAAATAAATCATAACGCTAATCATATTAGTAACCTGGTTGTTGAGGTTCAAGATCATAACTAAGGCGATCCAACTCTGACTCCGAATCTACAACTCGTAACCCGTCCAAGTACGATTTTACTTTTCGGACCATGAGGGCTTGTTCGTAGACCTGAAAAAAAGTTATCGGGAGGTAGTTCAAACAATGGAAGGATATTACGTGACCGTTCAAGATGAGATGTACATATATAGAAATGTTTTCGAACGCTGATATTGAAGGCAGAGTTCACGATTATTCTGAGATAACTAGTTCTAGACGATTAATGGAAGTAATAGTCCAGAACAAAGCATAAGTTGCGAAACGGACGCGGAAATCGGCCCAGAAAAAACAAAAACTTTCAAAAAAGCAGTAAAACTAGGGGTTGGACGAGAATGTGACGACAAAAGTTGCATCTAAGGGTTACTTGATAAGCTGTCCAAACGTATATGCCATTGCGTACTGCTGGTTACAGTGGGCTGTCTGGGTGCGTGAGAGTGATACAACCTCTACAGCCTTTAAACACCGCGACAAATCTACGCGCCGTCTTGAGTGTGTACCTCGGCTAGGGTGACGGAACTTCCCCCACTTCCCACGGCCTGCGGCGGTGGTTACCCGGCGACTCTCCGTATCCTTCCACTGGGAATTCGAATCTTTCCCCTCACAACACGTGTGTTCTCAATGTTGTTCTCAGGCTATACATCCCATCATGATAGCTCAGTGCGATCTAGTTAAGGTGGAGTTCTCTCCTTTCACAAAAGGTCTTGCAAAACACTAACCTTCTTTCTTGGCTGAACTACACGTCCTCCTTTTCTCATTGTAGCTACGTTACTGCCTTCAAACGTGTTCATGTGAAGTAGAGCGTCGCTTATCAGGTTTCCACTCTAAATTGATGATACTCCGGTTTAAAAAAAAANAAAAAAAAACAGAAATTTCAATGTAGTAAGCAGAAAAACTAACTCTTGCAGCCATACTGGAAATTTCATACGGAGCACTGCTCAACTTGGTGACCGCTCGGACGGATTTCGCTATGAGCCGTAACTTTTCAAAGTTGACTAGTTTATCGCAATAAGTTGGATTCCCTTCGTGTGAGAACGTCAAATCCTTCCTGATCACTGGATAAATTGGAACGACCTAAACCACCACAACAATTTTCCTTGGAACAACTCTTTGTTTAAACTGAATAATGAAAAGTTCACGAACTGGTGGTTCTTGTGAGACTTCAGCAAGGTGCTGGCGGTATTTGGACATGTTCCGTGAAGGGTCAACGAGCTGCTGGACGTCTTCAAGCATACGAATGTATTTTCTGAATAAAAATACGAGATGTGAGAAGGTTCAAACAAAATTTATTCATTTGCCCTTACCCGGAAACCCTTTCCCATGTTGAATGCAGCCTTCGCACAGCCGGCTTGTCTAAACCACTCATGATTGCAAACATAGAATTGAAATTACGCAGCTCCCGGCAATGTCTAAATACATATTATTCGAGAAGAAAATCGATATGTATATAAGACAGCGTTGACCTACCTGGCTACTTTGATAAACTTCTTAATAAGTTTAGCGCGTTTCTGGATGTGTCGCTCAGAACACACTTCGGTTGCCACCCACCACATCTCGCGGTTAAAGATCCTCTCGAACTCCTCCAAGCGAGGTGATCCATACCTTTAGATAATGCAACTTTTGAAAGGAATAGGCAAAATGAGCACGAAAGGTCAATTACCTCGACTCCAACTGGAACAGATTGTCAATGTACTCCGTAGGCTCAATAGAAGCAAAAACAGCGAAATCCTGCAAGGTGAGCTGCGCGGCTACAACCTGGAATAGCAAGCTGAAGTTTATTAAGCAGCGCAAATAATATTAACGACGGGAAGAAAGAAACCTGGGCATTAAGACTCAGTAACTGCGCTTGAGCATCTTTTATAATTTCAGGAGCCAAATCATCGGGAACAAGCGGTTCTGAGCGATTATTGTTCTTCAAGTAATACCTAAACGTTCCATTCTAAGAATAATGAACTATTACACGCCTTGAACTGATGAATCGAGCAAACCTGCTGTTAAGGGCGATCCGCTCTGCCAAATTTTCCATTTGCGGTGGAAGACGCCGTTGCTTGATGACACCATCTTCTGTTACAGTGCATTCACAAAGTGACCACTCCAGACTCCCCTCAGCTGTCATGTTGAATTCCTTGAATTGTGGACATTCCAGATAGCAAATACTTGTTCTTCAGTCTTCATTGAAGGCAAATAGGAATGAAAGTATGAAAAAGATGGTTATCGCAGTTACTGGAGCCACGTTCAAAAAGTTAGTTGAGTCCTAGAATCTTTGGGTCATTCCGAAACACCCTCGTACTCAAGGAGGCTTCGAAAGATCTTGCGAAATATGCCGGGAAGCAGGACCTCAGCATCTCACCCAGTAAGGCATATTGCCGAGAGAAAGACAAAAGCTAAAGTGATGCAAACCTGTAAAGCTAATTGTACCACATTCTGAGCAGTAGTTTCTTTGTACACTGCAAGATACTTGAAGGTTTGGTCGCTCCTAAAAAACACGTGTGCAATTGACTTTTCCTGTAAAATCAAAACGCCACCTCACCTATAAATCTTCAGCACATGCTCAGGGCATTCGCTCTTGACAGGGCCGTAGTACTGAGATATAGAGGTAATATCTGGATTTGATCTACTTGGACGCAGTTGATTTGTCACAGTCTGCGCTTCATCGGCAGCGTCCTCTCCTTCTTTATTGGATTTTAGTATAGTCATCAATTTATCCATCATACTGGTTTTATGACCTGCAGGAAACAATACTCACACAAATATAAATATTAATATTGTGGGTCCGTACACGTTCGGTAGAATCCACAAACAACAACGTACCGGCGAATTTGATAGTCTTTACAGACTTCACGGGGATGACATTCGGCACACTACCTCGAGCATGAGTTAAAACTCCAGCCAGAGCCCTATTCTTTGCTAAAGTCTTGGAGCTATCACGTTCTGCTTTTCCCAACAATTCTTTAAATCCAAGAATATTACTCTTTAAATTGATGGCGAGTGAGACACTGTCCTAAAAGAACAGCTTCAAGCGAGGTACCGCAGATTAACGTCAAGTAGTTTCCTAATTAGCGAACCTTCATGATTTCATAGGCTTTCGCGAGTGTCAGATATTTCATAGATTGCCCATTTATATCAAGTATCTCGTCTCCTCTTTTGAGACCACAACGTTCCGCAGGCGAGTCCGGTTGCACCTGGAATGGCAATCCGAATAGTTGAATCGAAATAACGTTGTTCACGGGCATTGCAAAAACAGATAGCTACTATCATAGCCTACCTCGCTCACGAAAATTCCACAGCCACATTCTTTACCTCCTTGGATGGAGAAATGTAGAGGGTCATCCTGAACAAGTAATCAACAATAAATGCACAAATAGGTCATGCAGAACCTAAAGACGTACTACTTACTTTATTTGCTTTCGAGTAAACTACTGTTCGGGGACGAGCTTTCACTGAACAGGCAATATTAAGTAGGCTTTGTTGACTATGCATACCATCGCGCTCTAAGGCACCCTCGAACCTGAAATCAGAAATGAGTAAACAAAAATATGTTTAGTAGTTAAGTGAAGTCGCACCTTTCCAATAATTTCATCATCTCATCGTTTGTTTCGAAATCATTATAGTGATTATTTACCCATAACAACACGATGCGAGCGATCTGAAATACCTCGAAAATTGAGGCACACCGAACACAAAGAGAGAAAGCACGAAAGAGTAGTGTAAAACCCAAAATAAAGGTCAGGATAATCAGGGAAGAAGAATGAGTCTCGACCATTTAGAGGCCCTATAAGGTGAGATGTAGGTGAAGTAGAACAGAAAATACAAGTCATATTATTCTCAACGTTGAGTGGGTGAGATGATGAGAGATGGAAATATAGGGCACGATGACAAAAAACGAACAAATTCAGCGTTTGTTAGCGGAAGCCTTCGGAGGAGCCTGCTCAAACCTACATCCACATACAGGGCGACTCCGCGAACAAAGTTACGGGAGCATTTCTTCCATGCGATACGGGATTTTGTCGAGCAAAGCAAGGTGAGTTGAAACGGTAAAGTAACGATGGCGAACAGGCAAAGTAATGGTTAAAACAATGGAATCGCAGGCGTTGCATAAGTGTTTGCATCCCGTGGGCAGGGATTTGATTTGCATTATAATGAAATCCATCCTAAAGCCGTGCAAAGAAACTTTACATCTGAGCGACGGACTCAGCCCATAGAGGATGCGGATGTTCTAGTACAGGCGGCGTATCAAGGCCTTCCCAGACTCGGAAGAAAAGGCTTATCCAAGTTTTATAAACCCCATGTGCGGCTCTCAAAACTGACACTGACACCACTTAATTAAGAATTTTGCCAGGTTCTGCAGTCCAGGTGGAATGTCTATCGTATTCACTTTTTTATGGCCAAGAAGATTTGCATTTCTCCATATGCGAAGAGCAAACTTTGCTACATCCCTGCTGAATATCAATGGCGGAGTTTGAGGGAAATCGTGAGAGATTGTAAATTCTCAGTTTGGTTCGTATCAAACACATTTACGATAGTGCGTTTTATTTCATCGAACTGAAGCGGTGATAAAGATGAGCTAGCCCGGCTTTCTCCCACGCACTGTTCACACCATGAGAAAAACACTACTGCTTTGAACTTTTCAAATTTTGTATGCCATGTGTGTTAATCGAGAGCCCATTAATTATTACACGCTCCTCCAATCCCGCAGTTTTAATAATGTAAGCGCGGTTATGCTATGATTCAGAAGAGCTTCAAGAGGGAAACGATTTCAGCTAAGAAGAAACGATGACTCATTCTAATCCATTTTACTCTAAAGAAGGAAGCTGCCCGAAGTTTCGTAATTCCGCATTTCATGCTTAGTATATATGAGCACCCCTCTTCGAATCAGAAAAGAGCAGAACTGGGCTCTATATTCTCTATAGACCTTGTGGCGAGCGAAAATTGATAACCAGTTAAAGCTGTAGGACTATCTTGCAATGCTTTTGCATACATTTTAACAAATGCAAAACAAGTTCATGCATACGGAATGTGCATACATCTCAACGGCCACTGCGACACTTCCCGACACTGGCCACTGTAAACTTATTCAACCATAAAAATATGAGAATCTTGGCTAATGGTTCATATTCACAAGATATGAAACGTCGGCGAAGTTCCAAAAAGGTAGTAGAAAAGGAGCTGCACAATCCCTTCCCCCATACCATGGAAGGGGTATGTAGACGAATGTAAGTTGCGTGCTACTGCATAGAGCTGGCTACAGCAAGCCAAAACACCAAAATTGCCTTCCGTTCTGAACCTGTCCAACGGTGCCGTACACCCGGTTGATACCTGAGCCCTTATAACGCCCTATCTAGGCCATATTCTGACCTGATCCCTTCACATGTGGCGTGCGGTGGGGGAAGGGGGAGGGGCAAAGAATTATCTTAGAGGATATTCCGAAAACTTTCTTCGTAAACTATGCCTTTGAGCACCAATCAGCGTTGTGCTGATAAGGAGCCTGCTCAGCTGTATCGCGACATAGAGCAGCGGTACTAAGGTGACTTTGTTAGATACCTCCCACATCCTTTACCAGTTCATGTGCCTCGTTTACAACGAACCCAACTCTTTTTCTGCTAAATTGGAATGTCTGCCTTGTTGCTGGCTTTCTCCTACTGGTGTTTTAATGTGGAATTATTTGTAATGGGAAGCGGAACGCTTAAAATTAGCCGAGCAAATCAGATTTCCTTAACTCAAAAGACTGAACAGCCCGAATTATTGAACAAGAAGACCAAACGTTGATACTAATTTCTCATTCAAGGTACACAGAAAATCCTGCATCAGAGCAGATGCCATCGTTAAGCGAATCTTTTGCGGTGGGCAGTTAAACTCATGTAGTCCAAAGCACTGGTTGTTTCTAGGTGATTCATTACTAAATATAAACATAGATATAGTAAACATAGATAGGATATATCGGAAGTGGATCTAACAATAAACGTGCAACTGGTAAGGAGCGAGACAAAGGAGCAAATGAAAGTGCAAAATCAAAATTATCTCAATGACAAGGAAATTAGAGGAAAAGAAAGTAACTAGAAATGTTTTGGAAAAACTTACTTTATCTCTGAGCGCTCCATCAGCAAACCACATCATAAGTTTTTCAAATATAGTAGTAGGATTATGTATGAAGACCCTATAGGTAAGGAGGAAATCGTCGACATAATGTGGATCCACATTACTATCACGATCATCCACTAAGTGTTGAATCAATTTATCCGGCTAAATTAGTTGGTTGAACTGATTTATAATAGCAAAGTACTCCTGGTTAAAAAAAACAAACCTTGCCCTTTATGAGAACCAGACCAACTTGGCTTCCTACAGTTCTTCTTTCCGTTTCTGATACAACTTCACCAGTCAACCCGTCCCGATCCTTCTCTATATGCTCACCAATCGTCGACATGATTGAACAGAAATCCTGTAGATGTGTAAAATAACCAGATGCTCAAAAAAATTGAGCTGGACCGAAAAACTGGTCTTGGCTATCCAACAGTTACAGCTTTACATGTTGCAGGTTTGAAAGCAACTCACTTTGTGTTCAATTAACACAAACTCGCAGTCATCAACCATTGTACGCATTTCCCCAACGTGATACTGGATCGCTGGATTTGGTTCAGCACCAAACGAGTCGCCCAGTTTGTATTCAACCCTTTCACCGTTCGGCTTCACAACCTCGACGAGCCCGTTGACAATTACAGACCTATATAATTGAAACTGAAACTTCCATAGAAATAATGGTTGTATTTAATGCAAGAATTTCTAGATGAAAACAAAAAACTGACCAGGCATCAAGTTTTTCGTTGTGATGCATGACCACAGTACCGGCATCATTCACTACAGCGAACACCATTTTCAGACATAGTTGTCTTTTTATGGACATGGGAAGTGAAGCAAATGACGACATATGTTGCATAAAGTCCTTTAAAGTAAGCCATAATCAAGTGTCTTTAAGTAAACGAACTACCAGTTTCCTAAACAACGCACAAGTAAAACGGCTAGGTCTTCTGCATTACGTTCGCTTGGCTCTTTCTCCAGACATTCACGAACGGAGTCTTTCAAATCAACGAAACTCTCGTGTGATGGACAAGATCCATCATCGTCTTCTTCTTCTGACTCCATACCATCCACTCCTGCACTGCCACTAGCATCGTCGCCCTCAGTAGTCGTAGACGATGCGGTGCTGCAACGAAATAAACGGTTGGCTATTGCAATAGGCCTAGATTATGTGCCCGACACATAAATTTACTACCTCCTGACACGAAGACGACGAGCAGCACCATTTGCAACATTACCCATAGAATTGCTCTTCTCACGACGATGTTTCACACGAACCAACGTATCTTCGTCCGATAATAAGCCATTTAGGTACACCTGGAGTGAATGAAAACCCGTAATGAGTGCACCGAATCGAAATTTCGCAAAAAATGTGAAAAAGTTATATTTGAAACCTCAAATACTCACGTGACTCCTATGATTTTCAGTACAAGAAGCATAGGTCGACGTAGATGGGACGTCAATGGGAAATTCAACTGGATACGACCTGATAAGCATCGATTTTATGAACTCGGCACATAACATGAAATAACGAAGACCAAATATTGAGCTCGAGACGCTTTCACCTTGGCAAGCCTCGTGGAAGTTGAGGAGCTTGCGGCCGAGCCGGCGGCAGACGAGGTGGTCGAGGCGGAACCGGTGGAGGTGGCATAGCACGCGCATCCGCATCCATACAGTGAACGCTTTTACGCATCTGCCTCAGATGCGGAGATGTTGGTGCTGCGATAACTGGCACGTCAGGATAATCTATCTGAAATCATCTCCTCAATAAAAAATGAACGTGTTTGGCGATTTACTCACGACCAACAATCTACGGTTCAACGTTGCTATTCGTCCTTCCTACTAATTGTAGGAGGAAATGATGTCAATTTTATGGTTGAAAACAGCTTCAATGATCAGCTATTCAGCAAAGTATTTAGTTACTATACACGAGTTTGTAAGAATAAAACATCCAGCCAATGCCAACCGTAGTTCACCTATCCTGCTCATACTTGAATTTTGAACAACGCTTCACAAGCGCTGATAGATTGCCCTTAATTACTAGCTCATCGCCTACCGCATTCCAAATAGTATGCCATGTACGACGATGTACATCAGTTTTTCCAACCAACCGAACAACTTGCAGACGAATAATTGTTGCGCATTATTACCAGAAGAGTTAATGGAAGTCGTCACAAGTTTTGCTACTTGTGTTAGAATAGAAACAATCAAAAAATGCTATTAATGATTCGGCTTTTGACCCACAATAAACAAGGGTTGGTCTTTTGTTATGGCGATTGCTATTGACTCGTGAGCTCATATTTGTTTCATTGCTACTAATTCACCGACTCATTAACACCCACTGGAAACAGCTTGCTGGCGAGAGTGAGATATAAACACACTCGTTAAACTCGTTCTTCATGCAGAAAAAAGGCTTCGAAAAAGATGATGTCGAAATCAGATATACTTAGAGGGAGCAGTAAGGTCAATGTAGAATCTCACTGAAAAGCACACATCGCTTTCTACTTCAAGCAAAAAAACGTCAGTGCTTCCAAACAACCAGGATTCCACTTTCAGCGCGGGCAAGGCTGTCAACAACATTCCCCATCTCCAGTAAATTAAGATAGCTCTAAATGAACAGCTCATCCTAGTGGCAAGGACCAGTCGTAGTGAATCATCCTATCTTTTCATCGTGACATGGAATAATTACAATAAAGTTTTTGAACCACACCAACTGATGAGTGTTGAAGTGAAGAAAAAGCGCCATGCCGAGCCAAGTGGCATGCCACGGGATGAAGGAGGGCGGAGGCAGCGAAAATTGCATTGTGTCGTCGGACATTGTGGCAGTGCTTGGTCAAGCAATCAAGCAGACTCGAGCCAGGATATCATAACGCGCGATGTGGGTACCCCACATAACTACTAGTCTAACTACATAGAGAACCACAAAACATCGCAGACAATGGACATGCTTTCGCGTTTTTTCCGCTAGTTTTATTGCTGTGTCCACAGAAACATGAAGCTTTGAGTAATCCATGAACCAGACAGCACGCCATGGATGTGGAAATCGAGCTACTGTTTTCATAGACATCAGTGACCAAAAAACTAGTTGTAAAACCGTGTTCAGGTCTCGATTCAATATGTTTCACGTAAGGAGTGTCGAACACAAAAATTATATCCTTCCCCACACATAGGAGAAAAGTAGTAAACGGGACTTCACATCTTACATTCATGTAATAATCATGAAATACCATTCTGACTCCGAGGCTTCATGCCTGCAATAAACAAACGAGCCGTTGGAAAAACGTCCTCTCCCTTATATGTCAGCTATCGTGACGGAAAACCGCTTCGCCGTTAAGAAGGGAGACAAGCTAACAATCCGGATATTCAATCTAAAAGCACCTTAGAGAATATGGCTACTTTCCCTAGGTGCTTCGGCCTTGCATCATTTTATGCACTGAGGAGCAGCTCGCATCATTTCGGATAGAAAAAAAATCGTATAAAGAGTAATCTCGGAGATTCTGTTTATCTACAAACGAGTGGGTTCCTAGACAGACAACGAGTGGCGCACATAACTCAGTGTGTCAAGGGAAGTACAAGCGATGACTGCGCTATTCTAGAAAATTTTGTTAGACGAGCATCAAAGTGCACTTGCTATTACTGCTGCTAACACACACACATCCACCAGTTTTTCTTGGCTAGTAGCTTAGCCAAAAACATGAACTATTTACTGTTTGATATAAACATTTTGCATAGACACTTGGAGTTAGCCCTGTAGAGAAAAGGATGTAAGCACAGGAAGCCCGGCGAACCCAACAAAAACCGGTTGAATGAAAAGTTATTCGATTAAAGGCTACTAGATGAATTTGTACTAGAGAGCTTCAGAAGCGATTATTCAACACGACCTTTACAACCGTTTATGATTATCACAGATGACAGAGTTTCATCACTACTGATGAAGGAGTATAGGTAAAAGCAAAAGCAAAAGTTGCTGGAAAAGTAATGGGAAGCCCATTTCAGAACACGTTCGCTCTTACTCATGTAGAGTCGCTCAAATGTATTTCTGCCGTAAATAACTTGCAAAGCCCAGCTTCGATATATGTAACTATCTTTATTTGGACTACTCAATCTTTTGTCAAACACCTAACCGCGCGAAGGGATAGATGGCCTGGTTCGTCAAAGCGAGAGTAATATTTGCAACCGAATCTTCTCCAATTTTCGACACAATAGCATAAAATGAACCATCATGGTCAAGAATCCTGTGCCCTGTTGTGCGAGCTGACAAGGCAATCAATGCCTTTCTATGCGTCAAACAGACGCTAGTTTTAGTCGCTCATTTCCTTTTGTAAGCTTAGTTCTTAACAGACGTAATGCAGCACTGCCCTCCATTCGCCCCTCACCAGGGAAGATCCCAAGTCGAAGTGATCGCTTGAAATGAGACCTACACCTTTAGATGTGTTTCGAATGTTGATCCCAAATCTGCTTTCCAAATTTGCCGAAAGATTCTATGAATAAGTGACCAAGTGATTTTAGGTGAGGATTAACATAAGAGAACTTACTCAAATTCATGGATGTACAAGGTTTCTCAGCGCTATTGGAGTAGTGGTTCAAGTGACTCTTCAAATGTGAGAGACTAGGGTTCGGATTTCGTGGGGAGCGATAAATTTGCATCGTATTGGGTTTCTTCTTTTTGCCTATGAAATGCTCTGATACTAATTTCATCGCTTTCTACGATCTACACGATTTGAAAAACACCCAAGAGGGTTCATTCGATGGCAGAGGCATTTGCTGTCATAGAGTACTGTCGTGAGAGGACCAATAGCTATGATTCTCTTCTGAGATAAAAAGACAAAGTGACTAGGGTGTGACGCATATATGTGCATGAGCAGGTAAAAAAGACGCGCTTCGTTTACTCACGCTTTGTTGACTTATTAATAACGAATGTTTTTCAAGTTATGGGAGATTATAGATTAGATCCGAACACGTGTCCCTTTGCCCGTTTTTTTTCGCATGCATAGTTCCACCACGTTAATTCCTTTTTCTAGAACCTCTCTTCCGTATTTTACGACAGGGATGATTGATAGAATACTGAGTAAAGACTCGATTCCACCTTAAAAAAGGGAAGTATGAAAGAAAAACAAGAGACAGTCATTTTTTCACTTGTGGGACACTGCGAAGCATGCTCCTTTCACAGTTACAACGCGTGAAAACACGCATCCTATATGCCAAAAAACTTGAACGGATAAGAGCGCGATCTTAGGAATCACAAGATCGGGCTCTCCAGTTGCGACGAATGACCAAATTTCAGAAAACATATTTCAGATGGTCTACGAAGTTTTGGGAAGACGCGTATTAAATCCTACTGACATGATCACATTGAAATCGAATATGAAAAGAAAGTCGAAACATAAGAAATTCGCAACTTACCACAATCATTTCTGACTCCTGCAGAAGCATGCAGTCCTGAGAACGTCGACAACTTATTCCGTTCCGTTTTCCAAAGCTGAAAAACTATGGCTCTGACGTGACTTCAACTGATCAATCAACATATTGTGGTATACTCTGTGTGATATACGAGGCTAAAACACATTCAAATAGAACAGTGTACACAGGAAAAGATCACAAATGTAGTGGAAACCCTGCTAAGAACTGGGACACAAAAGCAATCTTGCCGCATGAAACAACACAACAAAAGCGGATCATTCCAAAAGGGTGCAGTGCGCAGTGATCAAATGCGTACATGCGCAAACTCATCGTAACTAACAAGGCGCGATATCAGGTGTCGATATCAAATATCAGCGATCAGAGATATCGACGATCGATTAATTCAACGATATTCTAGCGAAAAAACACAAAGGAACTCGTCTGGATTGCGAACAGGAAGCCAGTTATACGCTCACATGCGTAATATTATAACAATTGGACCTTTCAAGTGCTGATTCATACGAAAAAACCGAATAAGAAAAAAAAACTTCAAAAAAAATGTTTTCAATGGGGGAAGAAAATAGTAAATATGTTGGCACCTCCCAGAATCCAAATTCAGAAACTGTAACAGCTGGTTTCTGCCTGGAACTAAGCGTCACAATAGGCAAAGCATGGCGATGGGAGGGTTTACATTTGGCGAATAACACAGTATACAATCGATAACGTTAAGAAACGTTGTCCTTTTCGCTCCAAATGCCAACTATTCTTAAACGGCCCAATAAAGGTTTTCATTCCATCGTTTTTTTTATTCGTTATCGTTTGATCGTTGTAAAAGCAAATGTCATCATATTGCAGCGATTCACGATAATCAAACCGTGAATTTACAAAGGGAGTAAAGCAACGGGCAAACCTATTCCAAATTATATGATATGTGAGAGGCGGCAGTGAAAGCGAGAATGTGATACTCTCTAAACTGGGTCGAATACCTTTCGATACAAACCCCTAGCGCAATGCGAAAAGTCACGCGACGATTATACGACGCCGATTCAATTCAGCGATACCAAGAACAGCGAAGTACAAACCAGCATAAAGTATGATTACAAACGGTACTTACCATCCATACGGTAGACAGATATTGTTCTCGATCAGCACTGAGCCAGAAAGGAGGATGTACCAGCATGTTGCCACTTGGCCTTCCCTGAAACGTTATCGAATCGGAGAAATCCATGAGCAGGCAATATGAAAACCAGTATTATTCGCTTGCAAAGCAATTGGCGCACGCAATGCTTTGATGGTTAACATGCAAACTTATGCAACACTATGCGCAATGACTGTTGTCGTGAAACACAATTTCATATTATCTTTCCAGGCATAGCCCCTGGCGAGATAAGATGCTGATCTCAAGCAAAAAAATGGAAAGTAGATGGAAATCGCCAAGAATGTATCTCTCTCTCTTCGCTATGTCGAGTGCAGCTATGTCGAACTCTACCGGTATAACGCTTTCATTTTAATACTGCACATACAATATCCATAGATGTATATGTTTATGTGTATGTGTATGTGTGTGCGTATGTGTATGTGATGAGTGTACCAAAAACCGAAAATTCATAGCTACTGTTCCTGTGGACCATGAGAGTTGAAGGGGGGGGGGGGGTGAACCCGGGAGGCGGAGGGCGAGGGAGAAGCGTATGGAGGGAGGGCGGAACGTGTGCGAAATGAGCGCAATTTGAGTAAAATTACGAAATAAAGTGTCCTGGCCTTTTCCTATTGTTATTCAATGGAGGACTACATGTCAACCATACCTCCATTTCCGGTCACCCCTACTAGCTCACTGCTACCTGGAAAGAACCGTCAGGATGAAATTTACTAACACCTCTAAAATAGACGAACCCAACAGCAGTAGAGTAACTAAGGCAGCAAAAACCCTATTCATCTAGTGGCATATAGATATAAACTTATCCAAATAGAATTTTTGACCTCTCTATTGTAGCCGCAATCACAACACCCTAAAACGTGCGCTCTCTCAATCACTGTTTCATCGTAACAGGACTCGAGAAGAGAATATCTACTTTCGCTCGTAATGACCAATAACTGTTTGCGTTTGAGTACAGTTGCCTTTTTAATAATGAGCGATGTTGAGACTAATTCAGATTTAAAGAAGGAAATATACGACGACTTACCGATACAATATGTGGTGACCACCATGTCGTTCATATCGGGCATTGGCACATATGGCCTTCAATGGGCCGTTATAAAGAGTAGAAAACATATCAAGTTGTCTGAGTTGATCGTAAATATTTCGAATATCCTGCAATAATGAATATGCAAGCACAGCAATCACAGAGAATCGAAGTAATTTTAGACCTACATCTTGAGTTCGCTGCCGAGGAGGCTTGATCAACGATTCATAGAACCTTGCATCGTTTATGGGGTCCATAGACTAGAATAAAAAACTGTTCACACGAAAAAAGGCAGTTGAGCAGAACCAAATTCAGAACAGGATTCAACAAAATCGGTGCTGGTGATTATATAGTACGTGCTAAGTTCAGCTTCAGTTCAGTTCAGTTCAGTACAATTATGGTGGAAGCAAGCTTAATCATCTTGGCAAATCCAGATAGAAGTGTGTAAAATTAGAGTAAACAATATGTTTAGTAATTAAAATTGTTCAATAGTCGAATCGATCGATGACAGGAAACACAACGCACAGCGATTGCAGAAAAGTACAACCCATGTTACTCGATGGTATACGTACCTAAACTGAAAATGCTGGAGCGCGAGACAGTTCCACAAAGGCAGTGACTGATAAGTCAACCTTGGTCGTATACGCTTTCCGTGGAACAGACTGAAAAATTCGGTAATAAGAAGGTCATCAATTCTTGGCATCCCATTGTACCCTAAAAGGAGGGGTACGTCGAAAACGATTGGGCTGAAAAAGAGAAGGCAAGAGAAGTTAAAAGATAAGCAAACATGTATAGGTCAATATTTAGAACGCATACATAGCTCATTCCTTGGTGAAGAGAAGCTCAGCGAAAAAAGAGCAGAAAACAGCTGAACAAAGTATGAAACACATTTATAATATAACAAATATTGAAAAATTTCACGGCGACATACTAATGGTGACCAAAAAAAAAACAGACAATTTCACATTTTGTCCTCACTTGATAATTTGCACAACTAGTACGCATCCAAAATCTCATGCAGCATCCACTAATTTGCAAACAACTCGCACCACTTCTGTATCCTCGCAAGCTTTACATAACAGGCTAATCGGAAGTACAGTCAAGCTCCAAGATAGTACTACTGCTATACGCAGGAACGTTGACCACCCCGTGCGAAAAGTGGTAGAGCTCACGCACAGCTGTAAAATATAGCCCAGATATGAGCGGTCCTTGGTAACGTTGCCTAGACAATGCAGTGAAATCCAACAAAGCAGAAGGAACATCAATAAAAACCCGTACAGGAGTGAGATGGGAGGCGGTCTTCAGAGCAGAATCCCTCAGCGAAGCAACATTTTTCTGCCAAAATTCGGCTCCGTGCGGAAATGAAAATTGATAAAATACTTCTGCTGCTTTTTCACCTTTTGTCCTTTCCTCATCCTCCACCCGCAGTACGTTAACCACCGGATTGCTCGATGCAGTCCAGCGACTTTCCCAACTGAATGCAGCTCAGAGGATTCGTCTCTCTCGATGAACTTAGAGAAGAACATTCCCTTCGTTCAAAGCCTTCGTTAAGAAACGTGACCGTCGATCTCATGGCCGTTTTGATATTCGTTTGACGTCCCGAGCGATCCGCTCAATGCCAGTCCAGACCCAGCAATCACCACAAAACATCATGACGTGTGCAGCCTACCCGATCTTCGATTCCTGGGAGCGAACGAGTCCTAATTTTCGTTAGTAGACGAAGTTCAAAAAACACGAGATTTCCCTCTGCACTTCCATATCAAGAAACTCCGCATATTTTTCTTTCCACGAGACATTAGATGGCACATATTGTACATCTGCTCTAACTGAGGTAGTTGGAGGAGTGAGTCAAGGGTAAATGGTAAACAGCAGCGTGTTTCCCCTGCTGGGGTTCATCATGTTAGTCTCCCAATCCAGAAAGATACTTGTCCCGAGCTTGAACGCCCTGCCATCGGCCCACAGTCCTACACCATCCGGTTTTAACCGAGCCGTGACGTTTGCTCGGAGAGCGATGAAAACTTTGGATCAGTGCCATCTAGAACCACACCTTTCGCCTTGACTCCTGCCTCAGATGATTGAGCGAACACTTCTTCAAAAAAAGTCAATTTCGTTTACGACCTTCCTCAAAGCCCTTAATATACAGAGGTTGTCCATGATGTCGAAGACGAGACAACTTGGTTTAGAAACAGACGAAGAACAAGTACCACGGAGCTCCTTCCAAACACTAGCCAGAACTGCCGCTCCTCTCAGATTTCCTTCAAGGTTTCTCGGCATATATTCGGAAGCTAGAACATTTGAAGTAAACGTCTGCAGCTCGTGCGAATCCACGCTGGCATATCACTTCGGAAGGACCTGTCGCCTATTGAGACTGTTACACTCTCCGCATCCGTATTCGACGAGGCAGATTAATTCTTGCCGCTATTATTCGAAACCAATCAGAATAACGTCTCTACTGTCGCAAAATACACATCGCCGTTTTAGCCCTTTCGTATACGTAGCATATTACGGTGGTTCTTAGATTTTAGCTGCTTTGTATGTAGTTCTGTGGACACGAAGATATCACGAATTATTTCGAATTGGGCAAGCTTAGGTACGACCACCAAGTTTTCGTGCGCACGTGCGAAACAAAGTGTCAATCAACTGCGAACTGGGTATCGTCATTTGTTCGGTACAATGTGAATACATGAGGAGGATAGCAATGGTAGCAAAGTGAAGCGGTAGTATCTGTGCACTGCTGAAAGGTGTAATAAGTAGTGAATCAGGATACTTGCTTACCTATTCTCAAACAGGCTTCAGTGAAATCGTGCAAAACCTAACGTTGAGATTTCTAGTCTTTGAGGTTTTTCGAAGCTACTATTTCTTCACTTTTATTGGTAAGCTTTCATGGCTCTGGTATCTTCTCCCCGAACGGAGTGTCGTGCTCGCCGCACGCGACCGCGCGTTGTAAAGGGAAAAATTCGAATTCCCAGTGGAAGGATACGGAGAATCGCCGCGGAACCACTGCAGCAGGCCGTGGAAGTTCGGGGAGAAGTTCCGCCATCTAGCTTTCGTCATATAACGCCTTCGTCGGCTTTAAGTTTACAATACCTGCATACAATCTGTCAGTTACAACATAGAACACATCAAACCACATCAGACTAAAGGAAATATTGCGAAGTTAGTAAGCGGACTTTTTGGTGGAAAACAATCTTGTCGATACTGCACTTCCGAGAAGATCTGCGAACTCCAAGGCATTGTCTATTTGATTCAATGCGGAGGATGTGGAGGAAAGTAGGTGGGAAGATGCAAAATCCTTGAAGATCCGCCTGGACGAACACTGAAGAGCATTGGACGATCCCGCTGTCTGTGCACACGACAGTTTTACCAGATACCGTACCCTTGTGCATAAGCATGGAAGCACGGGAAAGATATAGCATTAAGCCGGAAATCGACGCAAATGAGGAGATGCGTGACCTCGCGAGACTGATTGAATGATAACATTCATCACCTCCGGATAAGAACAATGCCCCATTTCAATCCCACGTTCCCCGCCGGCAACTTTCTCAATATTTCCGGTTAGCCTGATGCGGTTTGATGTGTCCTGTGTTGTAACTGACTGATTGTATGCAAGTATTGTAAGCTTAGGGTCTGACGAAGGCATTATATGGCGAAAACTTACCAATGAAAGTGAATAAACAAGAGCTTCTATAAGAGCATATACAATAGAAACATTTCCCAGTAGTTTGCCTTCTACTCGCTTAAGGTACAGTAGAAGGCAGGTATACGCAGGCAGGATGAAGGTCACAGAGTTTTTCTACATGATCAAGGTTGCCTCAAGGTGCGAAAACCCACTCTAAAACCTTCCCGCGGTCTCTTCCTAATTTAGTGCAGGCAATAACGAACCATGGGGAACACCATATACACTATCAAACTGCTGTTAATTGTTAATGCTAGTTGTCCTCCAAAAATTTACAAGTGATATTAAAACCAAATGATCGAATATGAATACCATATCTCGATATAAGCAACTAATTGGGACGAATTTTAAATTTAGCATAGCACGACAACCAGAAAGCAATTCTCTCCGACGATTAAATGTCAAGGCGATTCCCTCTATGTAATGTATACGGCAACCCCTGAGCACTCGGTCATCTACAAACCTCTCTGCCTGTCGTCAATTGAAAAGTATCGGCGTAATACTGGCTTTCGATCAAAGTCTCGCAAGTAGGCGACTCGTAACGAAAGGTGAGTTGGTGAAGAAACATGGGATGAAGAGTTTACGCCACAGGAAAAACGCCGGCAGTATGACTGTCGAAGCCGGCGTCAGTGTCGCACTATAGAAGTCCCAACTGCTACTAGTACATGCAAAATATATTGTTTCTAGTGTTTCGCTTAGCTTCTGGAACGGGGTCTATGGTTAATATGTATTCAAGGCTTGGTTATTAATGTACGTTTCATACATTACAAATACTAGAGGGGAAGAGGATTACGGTGAATGGGAGTTAGAGTCAAAGAGCTTTAGTCAAGGTGAGGAACGAAAAAAAGATGGATAGATTACTAGCGGGCTACGAGAATGCGAAAACTTGCTGCAAGAGCTGGCATGGCAATTGGGAGATCTGAACCAGTCTCATTGTTGGAGGCGAGAAAAGAAAAGAACATTATTGAAGAAAAAGTAGAAAAACGTTCGCACATTCTTCTTCAGCAGTATCCACGATACTATCTTCATGTATAACAAATGAGATACTCAAAAAATGAGAATGGAAGTTGGATTCCGTGACCCAGCGATTCCTCCTGCTTAGACGAAGCTGAGTGAGAAGAACCGAAAAATGGTGTGGGCGTGCACCGTGGTACTCGGAGTACGAGAAACGATAAACTTGACAATGCATAGTTACTGCCTTTTAGAAAAGAGACTGATTTGGTTGACATATCCATCATATCTGATGGAGCTGAGACAGAGCCTGCATCAGTCAGTTATAGTAGGTTGAATAGGTCGTATTCATGTTACCGACACTCAAAAGCTAGCGCTTACGCTTGCTTCAGCCGCCGATCCCGCAGATCTGCGACAGTTGCTGCATCAAGGAATTCCTAACAGTTAAAATTGCATGTTTTGCGTTATGTGATAAATGATTCTAGATTCTACATCGACTACTCAGCAGCTTATTCTGAGAACGACTTTGCTTTTCATGACAACTTTAAGAGAACGTTTTCTTCATTTTGTACGCCTTGAATGCTTCTAGAAGACGTCAAGTCGTTGCATTCACACTGTTGACGCGAACACAGGTCGGCGTTAGCCGTCATAGATATCCCTCAGGGCAATAATCAAATATGCATTCTGAGAAAAGCAAGGCCGTAAACGCGATTAAGAGTCACTGCGGGCTGCGTTTCTTTAGTTCCCCACAGATACAGAAGTAGAGACGACGTGACGGTTTCGCAGCGCATGCTATTCCACCGTACTCAACCGAATGGCTTGCGGAATTGCAAAAGTGGGTGCAAGACAAAGCTATTGTTTTTTTAAACAAGCCTTATACCATTTTTATAACCCTCCTTGGAATGGTGGCAGCAGTGATTGCTGTAGGGCACATCGATCTGAAACCCGATTTCTGAGGATAACAAAATTCAGGTAGGCCTCTCTTTACACAAATGCTAGGACGTAAACGGAGGATTTAAATTTCCTTAACAGCTG